GCATTTTCGGCTACGTAACCCAAAAATGACGTAGATATATAGGTACACTTCAAATACCGTTAGATTCCTTCTTCACGTACCTATCTACAACATTATGCAAATGATTTTCATGAACTCACCAAGGCCTGTGGTACCTATTTGCATAATCGCCAAACGTATCGATAACGCCTGACGTAAACTAGGTATTATCTTTACGGGAATTTTAACATTAGAAGCCTAGTTTGCGCTTAGAACGTAATTTTGGACCTTGGTGCGGGAATTTTATTGCTTTTTTATGGCTAGCGGGATTTTATACGTTTTTATAACTGTTTTTTACATTGACTCTCATTGACTATTGACGCACACAATTCCTATGAGATATCTTTTAATTTCAATCAAAGTAAAAAAAAGTCAAAGTCATGTACTCATTCCAACCCGTGATTCCAACTAAACCATAAACAGATACTTCTGTACTACTTACAGAAACGAGTTATGAGTGCGTTGCCGATCTTTTGGGGATTAGGGATTTTGAGATTTTGGGAAAGGGATCGGATTGGGCCTCCGGCAAGTGTAGATTCGAATGGAGACGGACGAGCAAGAAACTCTAACTAAACAGATGATAGGTCGGTACTGTGAGGAGACAACCGACTTGGCACACGTCCTTCCTGAATTACATGCAGACAAATCACGGCAATCATCACGGCTGGGGCACGGCAGCATAGTGTGAGGAATCTAGACGAACAGTAACTACTGGTAAGAAGGTGGTACTTTTGTTTCGTGCCAGTATACAGCGCACAGCAAGCTCAAAGAAAACATTCAGGTCTCAACAGGGGTGGGCGTTGCACCCAATGCCATTTACAAGTGTTGTATAAGTCAAAGCCATTTATTACAACTAAACGTTAAATATGTATGTAAGTACTTTAAAAACGTCAAAATAGAATAATAATCTGTCAGTCTGTTCGTCAGTGGAGTTTGTTGCCTATAGAGACTTTGTTCCCCGAAGGGTGACACAGGTATGACCTGGATGTCTTCAAGGCCTAAGTTAATATGTTGCTTATACATAGGCGAGCTAAATCTTAGCTCGCATCATCACTTACCACCAGGCCAGATAGACAAACGCCAGCCCATTACTATAATGATGTCCATTAGATTAAAGTTTAGTTTTTTTTAATAATGATTAAATCTAACAAAGTAACTAATTTAAAAGTAAACTACGAAAGAACGAATAAACACACACAAAAAAACTGCACAAATCTTTTCAATGGGATGAATGGCACTAATCGTAGAACATGTTCCCTTTCGTCACCACTTAGATTAGGATGGGACGATCGGAACAAATTAAATATTATTTTTGTAAATTTCCGTTCGTCCTTCTCGGGGGACACGGAATTTAGTCGCGGCAAAATCCTACACTGCCTAATCTTTATCTCACAAATCTTTTGAAGGCTTTTAAAAGTAGGTTGTAATAGTGTAAAAGTAGGTTTTAAATTAAAATACAACACTACTTATTTATTTATTTAGCTTTCTTATATTAACAAAATAAAAAACAGGTCATTACTATAAAATATCTATTTATTTGCTGGTAATAATGTTCAAGTATTGCGACTCGAGTACACAATAATAATATCTAAAATCTAGAGTATTTTAATAATAATATACAATGAAATATACAATAAAAACAACAATCTTATATTTGGTGTATAATGGCCGCGGTACGAAAAAAAAAAGAATATTAATTCTTCAAAATTGGAAGACCATAAAAATAACTATTTATTTCAAGTTATTTATTTATCCTTTCTCTTAAACTCTGGTCTGTTACTATTCATTTATTTAACATTTAATTATTTTAAAATTTGAAACACATTGTGAATTAAAAATTAAAGTTTCAAAAGTCGCCCCGCGATTTACGAATGAAAACAATTCAACAATAACTTAATTAATCCTTAAAATTAAACCTTATTGTAACAACAATAAGGATTAAATTGCTACAAAATATATAAATAAACACTTCAATTATTTCTAGTTTGATCTGTTTATTTAAAATTATAAACAACAAAATTATTTTTTTACATAGGCCCGGTTGGGGCGTTGGAAAATCTGCTCTATCTGTATAAAAGTAGAGTTTAAGTTGAGTAAGCAAAACTTATTTACCTAGGTTTAAACATTCATAGGTAGTATATTTGAACAATTTATTTAAAAATATTAACTATTATTAGGTACATACATCTAATAATATACAATAATGTAATATTTTATATACAAAACTTAATATTTTGTATATTTTGGTGCTATTTATGGCCGCCGAATGGTAAATGGAAAACATTCCTTCACTAAAGAGACATAATTTAATTACAAATACCTCGTTCAATCAAAATTGAGTTTTGTTTTATAGTAAATAGAGTTTAATTAGCATTGATTTCATGTTTTAAAATGCAAAAAAAATATTCCGAATGTCTTCTTCTATCTTAAATTACATTTTACGTATAAATAAAAAAAAATACTGAAAAACAAATCAATTTCTTAATCTAATTTCCTCCGATTTTAAAACATTGTATTAAGCAAAATCTTTTACAAATAAACTTCATAGAAAAATTGGTTTTATAGTTAGTATGATATAAGGATCATATCAGCTTGTATTTATTTGTTAAACAAAACTTCATTATAATATCTGTTTCGGTAACATGTTTAAATATCAACGTAAAAGCTTTGGAAAAAATGGCATCAAGTGACTTTTTTAAATATCACAAAAACAATATCATTTATTTGTATTTTTTTAATAATTATATCTTTGCTTCATTCGCTGGGAATCCATTTTAAAGGTATAATTTTATTAACAAAAGGTATCAGTAAAAAAAATATACTTACACAAATACAGTATAAAAAAAAACTTTTTTTTGTTTTGTTCGGATTTGCACAGCTTGCTTTACAGCTTAGTCAATCGATACGTTGTTGATGTTTAAAAAAAGTATAAAATTTGTATTTTCTTTATCTGCAATCGAAACACTATCGGTAAAAACTAATAACAATTTGTTAAAAAAGTTTGTAAAAACAATTCCTTGGAATGTATGTGCAAGCAACGAAAAAAAAAAATCTGCACTGTATATATTGGCCCATTAATTGCTTATTTAATGCGTCGATAATAAAAAATACTGACATAAATTATTCCACCAATAATACAAAAAACAGTTTCCCCGCGAATAAAACAAAAAAAAATAATAATAATACAATTAACTTCGTAACTCGTAAATTAAAAACTTAAATAACATTATAAAAATATTAAAAAATGTATACACTCAAAAAGACAAAAGAACAAATCGGTGGATACTTTAGCTTTGATTTTTTATAATAAAATTGCAGATTTTTTTATTTTTAGGTACTTACGTGAATCAACTTAGAAAAGCTCTATCATAGTATAGAGAGAAGGGCAGTAGGCTATCTCCGGCCCAATCGGCGATATAATTGCCTACTGTCGTAGGGTTGTCTCTTTTAGCAAAATTTTAATTCAGTGCCTATAAATTGGCAAGGGTACTATCTACCTAATTTCTCTGTGCGATAGAAAACGAATACAACAAAAAATAAGTAAGTAGGTATCTCAAAACATAGTAACAATAACAAGCTAGAATGAGTGACTAGCTAACCTTTCTTGTTCAATAGGTAATCTGAACAGAGACAATTCTGGAATCGATGAATTGTTAAGACACCCAAACACACAGCAATACGTTCTCTTGCGATTATCAGACATTTTGTTTTGATTTAGCGGTCGGTGCCGAAAAACAGTGACGCGCGAACCTCGTGCAGTGTTAGCCCCGACTGACGCACTGAGAAACGGGTCGAGATTTTGTTACAGTATGCGTGCGTCAACGCTTAGATACTATGGCGCACACATATAAGCCGCGCGCGGTGCGTTTGTAAGAAATAACCTACTTCCCATCTCTTTATACTATGGCTCTACTAGTTTCAAGTCACTACGGGACTCTTATTCATGAGCTGCGTGCGCGTCGCGGCTACGTCGCGCAGTCGACTGAACAGTTGACTCACGTGAATAAGTCGCAATTTATTCAAGAGTAAAGGTAATTTTCATTATATTAATTTTATAATATCTTTATTCACTGGGTTTTATTTAAAAATAATTTCCCTTACATACTTGCTTGATCATTGTGACGAATCCTAGACATATCGTCATTATTATCAAAATAATTTTGAACCATGAGACGTCGATTTCTGAATATAGGCTTCCTCGAATGATTTCCAGATGGACCGAGAGGAAGCAGCCTGCATTTCATCGTCATCATCAGCCTATAAGTGCCCACTGCTGAGCAAAGGCCTTTTCTCACACGGAGAAGGTTTGAGCATTAATCACCACGATTGCTCAATGCGGGTTGGGATCTAGCGACTATATAATTTATTTAAATCGCCAATACTCTTGAACTAGCGTGTTTTTTACATGCAGAAAAATATTAAGAAAAATTCTAATTTTATTAATTGATTTTACGATTTCTATCATATTCATATTTAAAAAGAATGCTTTTATTGTCAATTCGTCGAGTATTTAATCACAGGTGTTTTTGTATACCATAGTTTTCATATAATTTATAATTATGATATTTAGTTAACACGTTCAATTGGAAAAGTTTTCACAAAATACGACCTTATATTCAAAACATTAAAGTGTATTCTACTTTTGTCTTTCATGTCTTTAATTTTATATAATAATAAGAATTAATTTCATATTCACTTTCAGCCAGAAGCTCTTGAAAGCGAATTTAATATCATTAATTTATAATAAAATTCCTCAATGTAGAGAACTTTAAGCTTAACACAAATATAAATAAAATTTATTTTTCTTTAACAGTGCGTACATAAAGATGTCTTTTCTCGTTAACACTCTTCTATGGCAGCAGACTCAGAGCTTAATTCATATTGACATAGAGCATCAATTTCTTTAACGCATTGAAGTTAAAGACAAAATGACGCAATCACATACATCGAATTAAAGGATTCCAAGCTTTACAACGATGTAAATAGAGTACAAATTTCTTTAAAAACTTATTGGGCGTTACGTTTTTTCGGGGGAGGTGTAGGTGCTTTATCATTGGTCGTATTTTTTCTATGTGCTATAGAGTTGTACAAGAATGATCCCCGCGGCGCCCATACCGTGTCGTAGTTGTGTCTGGGAGGGAGCGGGTTCGATTCCCCGTTGTTGTTGGTATCGCTGTCGAGGTCCATGCTTCGGTGGGCGTATTTCTTTGGTAATGGAGGAGGCTCTTCTTCTTCTTGATTGGAATCTGTTGTTCCTGTGTTATTGTTAATTTGATATTTAAAGATACACTATTAGAATTTAGAATTGATTACTCAGACTATTCATTTGTACACTACTAAAGGATAGAGACCTTTTCATTTGATTTTAAATCTTATTACAAAACAGAAAGGTTAAAAATCTATTAACAATAGGTATAATTATTGTATGTATACAACTTCTAAATTACCCACAATAATAAACTAAGTACTTAGAAAATACTAAAGCAAAAACACAAACTGCACACACACACTGTTAAAAGTTAATTTATCAATAAGAAAGCTATACTAGCCAAAACTGAACTCTGGCACGACTTTGCTATGGGAAAAATGGCTTACTTTTATGGTAATAAGGGTTTTCACAGTATGAGTTGACTTGAACCTCGAACAATTTTTTTATTGGAATTGCTAGAGGTTGGCAAAAGAGTATAAGGGTCAGCCACATAGTAACAAGTTTGTTGACGGTCTTGTGTGTGTTAGGGGTTTAAAGATAGGAGATTTTGGGATTCAAGATGGGAAGGGGGGAATGTTTGGGCCTTCGGTAAGACGCTACTCGAATAATGCAAACACATTTTTGTTATGTAATCGGTCGGCAAACGATCAGACGGATTACCTGATGGTAAGCAATCAGCGCCGCCGACCTTTTAGGGATTAGGGATTAGGGATTTGAAGATTAAGTTGTTTCACGCCGGTTTTCTGTGAGATCGTGGTATCACTCCGGTCGAGCACACTCAATCCATTTTGCATTACGCGATTATTTAGTTTTCGAGATTATTTTTTCTTCTATTTTTATATAGGGATTTTTATCTCGGGTATCATTTTTCGAGATGTAAGTCAACTAAAAGTAGAACTGTACGAAGAAAATTCTAAAATATTTCAAAACTAAGATTATTATAGTCCAAGTCATCTTATACTGTGAAAGTCTTAAGTTTAAGGATTAATACTCACCCATAGAGTCTCGGTTCGAGGGTGGAGCGGATGATGTGATGAGACTAGTTCGCTGGGACAGCCTTCGTTCGCGCTCGACTTCAGCTCGGAGCGGTCTCTCAGTCACCAGCTGATAAAGGGATTTTTTTATACTAATGTATATCGGCTTAGATGTGACACTAACAAAAATAATAATACTAATAATAAATAACTCCGTCAAAGCATTTATTTGACTATCAAAAGGTTTTTTTGTAAGGGAAAATCATCAAATAACTTCTCCCACCCAGGATCGGGGGAGAGGGAGTGCCTCATTGCGCTTGCCCCGCAACCCCGGCTAGGTCAAAACAAGTAAATATCATAATAAAAGTGGGCTGTGCGACGTCACTGTGACGCGCTCAGAGAAGAAGATTGCATTCAGTTTTTTTGAGGGTGGGAAATCAACAAATGACTTCTCTTGAGTCACTTCTGGTGAGGAGAGTGGCAGTGTCAGACTCTAACTGACTGAATACCATACAGGTTTTTTTGTGAGGGGAAAATTATCAATTGACTTATCTCGCCCAGGGTGAGGAAAGAGAGTGTCAGACCTTTTATTGACTAAAAAGACCCTGTTCCTTTTACTGCTACAGGACGAGGCCGCGGTGCCTTATTGCGCTTGCTTAACGAGCTAAAATCAGAATATGCCTTGACTATACTTCGTAAAGTTCATATTTGCATATTCCCAAAGAGGTTAGGGACGGCAGAAACTTCAGACCAGATTCTTCTACATTATATATGGAACTAATTCAATCAATAGACTGTTTACAGTTGGACTACGAAAAAAATACTGTTATATCTCATGACTTAACACTTAGCAGTAAGACAATACCATCTTTTTTTCTAATGTTTTTTAAATTTAAATCATAGATACGTTTTGTCAACATCTAGGCTGATAATACACAGTTTATTTTCGGATCTGCACATTAAAACGCCAGAAATAGATAGATATATAAAACCAAATAGATATTTTACAATATGCGTGCGAGTTTGTTTCAACGTTAACGCATTTAGACGGAGCTCTCGATTGGTTGCTAAACTTTGAACTGACCAATCAGAGCGCCGAACGCTTCAATCTAAAGCAAGCTCGCACACAAAAGTAAGTACTCGTGATATATAAATTATTTTGAATAAAATGGTCGTGCTAATGTGCAATACCCAAAAATATTCAGGTCTAAGAAGGAAAAAGCGTAAACCATTTGAATTGGTTCAAACTTCAAACCAAGTAACACTTATTTATATACAAGTATCAAAATCAAATACTAATGCAACATGTAACAAAATTTAGTATTAGAGGATCAAATTCATGTCCTGAGACTTCCTAATGGGACAAGTCCATCAACATTTTTCAAATCTGTTCTACAGTAGAAACAACCTTGAAAACACCGAAACAACGAGACATAAGTAACTGTCTTGGATACTTTTTCACGACCTAACTAAATTACCTTTGGAGATTCTTAAAGAGGTAATTATAAAAAAAGTTCTTCCTTTACAGGCAAAATTATGGAAAAAAAATATTGTATCAAAACAAAACACTTAAAAAAGCTGTCCTGGGAAATGAACCTTAAGTTAATGTAAATAAGGTTCATTTATCCGGTTGTCACAACTATATTTTTTTATTTGAGAAAGGAATATCATCTAATGACTTCTCGCCCCTAGGTCATAGCGAGTGAGAGAGCGAGAGCAGACTCTTACTGACTAAAGACCTCCCTGATCCATCTCCTGCTCCAAGCCGAGGCCAGTTTGTTTGGCCCCATTTGTGGTGGTCTGCCACCTTGATTACGACAACTACCATTTTGTTACACGTTGCAAACAAAAATAACACTTGAAAAAATTTAGGCAGGAAGCAAAGCAAAAATAGCATAACGCGTTATTTTTTATTAGTCAAAGAGTAAATTTTAATTTAGATTATTACATTAACCGCCGTACTCAGAGTCATTTAATTGTTATTTAGCACAATCCTTGGCATTGTTTTCGAATTGTTACTAAGGAATGGTTTAAATAAGCACTGAATGTCTCCGAGTAATGCTGTTAAATTCTTAGGTTTAATAAGACTTATTAATTCAGTGCATAACGAAGTTCACTAAAAGGTCACTAGATAATCTAGAAAGAGATGCAATACATGTTTTATCTCTTTTCAGTAAAATAATTATGTAATAATTTGTGTAATAATTTTATCCAAATAAATGATTTTTCTTTAATATTCAGCTGATCAGGCTATCTCCGCAATGCCTCAGAATTAATTAAAATGATAGCTTCGTTGCTTTTCAAACATGGAATGTCACTTACTGAGCGGAAAATTTTGTTATTTCCAATGGTCAATGTAAACTGTGCCATTACATAATAACTGTTGATTTCAAACAAATTCTAATGTGTAGTAATTCTTGTAATAAAATAGGGACTATGACCGAGTAGGAAAATTTTAAATTAAAAATCTATGAATTTAGATAATGAAAACCTTCGAAATGAAACACTTAGTATAAAATTTTATGTACTAAATCGTCAAGTTTTCCGATGTCACATCTACGTACCATCAAAAGTATTGATACTTGATACTGTAAAGAGAGAAAAAGAAATACGTTTCTACACTTTTAAATTAATATACATTAAAAAAGTAATATATTATCATTCATCTAATTGAAAAATTACCGCCAATTTATTTTTATCTCAATTCTGGGCATGTAAGTTTCTGGAATGACTTTCCCATTTAGAACCATATTTTTAATCAAATATTTATCCTAATGTTTGCAATAATTGATTTTCCTGTTATCCGACGTTTAATAATATTAATATATGTATTTACATTTATAAAACTTCAAAGTGCGACGTCTGCGTAAGCGCATATTTTATGTTATTTGTAATGCGTCAACAAAGAGTTAATTCATTAAAAACATTTGAGCAAATAAGGTAGATATTTGCTTACTTTCCTTTCATTATTTACAGTAGAAAAGTAATATTAGCAAACGAACTATTATAACAAATTATAAATGAAGACGTTTTTTTCTTTTTAAATTAATTTTGGACGTATTTATAACGGTTATGAAATCAAAGAGACGTATGTGTCAAATTAATAGTAGGCACTTACGTCACTTAGGCTTAAAGCATCATTTTAAATATAGATTATTTTATGGCAGCGAATTCGATTTCGTTCTCATACAAAATGAGCGTTTTATAGACACTAAGTACATCAAACAGCCTTAAGTTTACAATTTTCAACTCTATTACATGAGGTTGAAAATCTATTTTAACAGTAACTTAAATCATTTGATGTGCTGGCTAAGATCACGATCACGATTAAAAACAAATCATATTTATAGGTAAGTAAAGAACAATATTGTTATCAAAACAGAAGCTAGGAGCAAATTAAATGTTTCGAACAATGCAATCAAAATAAGCATAGAAAGGCACGTTACCCACATTGTAATGAATCTTTTTAATTATTAACCTTTCCGTGGGAACCTCCTCAGGGATACAATTTACCTGGGAAAAATTAACGGTACAGATTAATTTTTATTTACATAATCATACATTCATCGATGAAGGAAACCATCGTTAAATCTACACTAATAAAAACACTTATTACAAAAAAAGCACGAAAGAAAACATCGCGACTTTAAGTATTATCGCGACGATACTAACTAAAAACACAGACACACACAAATAAAATGCCAAAAAGCTACAATTCTGACATACCTTTGTTGCTTTGCCCCCTACAATTATTTATTTGCCCAACATTTATGGACGAAATATCGCCTTAAAAGTTTAATTAATCAAACGGGATAGGAATGGGGACGAGGAAATGCCCTGCGGCAGGTACCGAACCTTTTTGTGCGAATTAAGAAAGACAACTGAACTAACTGTTACTTTATTGAAATTCCATTATTTTGTCTGCGTCAACTGTGCAGTCACTTACTTGATTTATTCACTATCAATTTGTACGGACCCGCGTAGAAGGCATTTTAATTTAAATGAACCATATATTTAAACCAAAGTATGTATACAAAACAATAATGAGACCAAATTATTTCAGTTTCAGTTTTTTGGAAGGGGCAAATCATCAAAGGACTTATCCCACCCAAAGTAGTGCCCTACGAGGAAGTGTCAGACTCTTACTGACAAAAAGCCACCCCGTTCCTTCCCCTACATAATAGGAAGATATGATAGACCTTACAATAATCAATGCATTAATACGATAGTTTCCAACTAATCAAATTCAATACTTTTATCCAAATGTCAAAAACGATACTTTTCTATGGAATTTGTATGAAATACTGAGTTATGACGTCATAGTATTTTTGAGTCAAATAGCGTACTCACTTCTTAAAAATAAGCCAAAAAATATCGAAAATTTATTGTATCGATCGATCGATGAATAAAAGTGTAGTTATTTATCAATATGTTATTGTATTTAAACGTCGAATCAATTTACATTTGGTGTAGAAAACTACCCAATTGAACTTCATGGTCTTCATTAATTCGCTCCTCAAAAAAGGTCAAATTAAAAATAATAAGCATGAAAACATTAATTTTTAAAAAGCCAAACTTATTTTGATCACATTGTTACCACTGCTGTTAAAACTTACATAGGTAAATTAGAATTTAGTTACATAGTGTTAGAACCGTCCAACACTGAATAATAAATAATCTGAACTGACCTTAGGAACTTGTCTCACCTCTTGCCTCAATTCACGTAAAGGTGATGCGGACGGCGTGTCCGTTTGTGTGTTGATGCTCGTTATACTGTTGTTGTTGTTGCTCGTGGAGGTGTTGTTGACAGTGGAGGTGCTGTTGTTGAGCGAGCCGTTTGGTGTGGCGTGGGACGTGTACCATTGGGATCCGCTGGCTTGGGTGCCTACTTCGCTCTGTTGGGTTGAAGAAAGTAAAGATTGCTTAAGGAAAAATACAGTAGCTATTTTCCTTTAATTTGTATGTTAAATAAGTTAAAGTTCAATTAATATAAATCATTTGTAACCGCTGGTCTGTTTCTGGTCGTACGAATTCCGATATTTCAGTACGTGTAATTTTTGACATAGTTATTTTGGTTAGGCGCTTACGTCGCTTTGATTTGAAGCCTTACTTTTAATAAAGATTATTTTATTATTTGAGCAAATACCAAGCATCATGAAACGACCTCAAGCTGACACATTTATTTATTTACTAATTTATTTGAAATGTATGATATAAAACCAATTACACTACTCAATTCACTACTATAGTAGTATTCACTCAAATCTCTCACAAAACTACAAGAATTCCTTCAAAAGTATTCTTCTTTCGCTCTGACTCTGACTAAAACTTATAACATAGTCCTGGATGGTATCCAGGACTATGTTATAAGTTTGCACGGTTGGGCATCGGCAGCTCAACTGACCGTTCTGTAGGTTCTGATGGCAAACAATTGGTGCTTTCTGATGCGACATTAATAGTTCGGAACAAAAAAGAAAAGGAACTCGTTATGGAGTTCCAGAGCATCACACAATATTATTCTCATATAATTTATACTGCAAAAATAAGTTAAAAGTTTTACCTTTCTCAAATTCCGTTTATTCCTTCTGCCTGGCGAACTCTGCAACGTTGCGAAGCGACTTACGACACCCGTACTACTATTCCTGTGAAAGAGAAAACAAATAATTTATTTCTACAAAACTTGATTTTTCTTTTATTTGAAATATATAACAAGTCAAAAAAGTCAAAAATCATTTATCCAATTAGACCCTCACGGGCACTGTTGAAAGTCAAACAAAATTTGAAAATATAGTGTCAGTCTGTCGGCCAGTCCTCTTAGTAAAGCTATTTGCTCGTTCCAAAGTGTAGTTTCCGATGGGGAAGAACGAGCAAGAAACTCCATGGTTACTCTTTTTAAATCAGTTTTACATACAGATTACTTTTACAAACAGCTGGTTCAATTATGTGAGAACAGATTAATTATGTGAGAACAAGATTCAAACTATTTCAGTAGTTCATACTTAATTTATTGAAAAATTTCGATTTTCTTATGTGAAAGAATAAACTGAAAAAAGCTCAACTAGTTTCATGTCATAACGGGATTCTAACTCATGAGTAGCGTGGGCAACATTACTACTAACATTGCTGTTAGAGGTTATCTCAGTTAATTCACGTAAGAAGTTATTTTCAATAAATTAAGTTTGTCTCGCGATAGTTTTTTTTTAACAAAAGAACGTTGCCCCACACTTGGGTTTCCTCCTGTATCATGAGTGCGTTTACAAACATACAATTTCACATACACATGACACCCAGACTCGAAACGTGCGGGAATACGGTATGTTTAGGATTTAAATGATGGTCGACTCGCTTTGGGTAAATTATAACTTTAATACAGATCGATTTTTACAAAATTATATTATGTGTGAGCGCACGACACGTCCGTCGCTGACCAAATCTGTAGGCGAGCCGCGCGGGGTGAGGCGGCGGCGGTGCACCTGACATTTGAGTGCGCCCCCCGCCCGCCGCGTCTCCCGCCGCTGAGCATCACACGTTAGATGCGTGAACATCCTCCGGCGCGTTGAAAGCCTTAGCTTTCAAGAAGTAGACGAGGTCTGGAGCCTGGAGACGACTTCCTCTGGTTCCTTGACATCTTTCGATTCTGAAGTGGGTAGAAGACATAGTTTATTGACAGCCCTTCGTATAACGCCCTTTGAAGTAGTGACGTCAGCCACCCTACTGACGCCATCGGCCCCCGGGTAGAGACGACACACACGCCCCATCCGCCATTGTAATGGCGGTAAGTTGTCCTCCTTCAGTATCACCACGTCCCCACAGGCGAGGCCTTGTTGCCCGGTGCGCCATTTGGTGCGTTGCTGCAACTCGGAGATGTACTCAAGGCGCCATCGCTCCCAGAAGTGCTGTCTTATCTTCTCAATAAGCTCGTATCTGTTTGGTCTAGTAACAGTGATGGGTTTCGTCGGAATAGACGTAAGTGGTCTCCCAATTAAGAAGTGGCCTGGGGTCAGAGGAGAAGGATCAGTAACATTGGACGAGAGAGGAGTCAGCGGGCGTGAATTAAGGATGGCTTCGATTTGCGCAAAAAGCGTTGCCAGCTCCTCAAACGTCAAAGCGGCATTTCCAGCTACACGTTTTAAATGGAATTTTGCTGATTTAATTCCAGCTTCAAATATACCACCGAAGTGGGGAGAATATGCGGGGCTAAATACAAATTTTATTCCTTCAGAAGTAGCATAATCACTAACAGATTGACGGCTGGATCTTAGCAACCTACCTAGTTCATTGTTTGCACCCACAAAATTCCTGCCGTTGTCGCAAAAAATCTCATGACATCTTCCTCTGCGCGATATGAAACGCCTTAGGCACAAAATAAAAGCTTGAGTACTTAGTTCACTCACCAGTTCTAAATGTATTGCCTTTGTACTGAGGCAAACAAATAAACATAAGTAACATTTGGTGATGCGGTTACCACGACCCTTCCGGTTGCTAATCATGAAAGGTCCAGCAAAGTCAACTCCACACGAGTAAAAAGGAAAACAAGCATTCGTACGCGCTTCAGGTAAATGACCCATTATTGGCTGCATTGTATCTGCTCGTAAGCGAGTGCAAATAACACATTGTCTAACTACTAGCCGCGCTAAACATCTTCCACCAATAGGCCAATATTTATCACGCACTGACGCTAACAGCAGCTGTTGACCTGCGTGGAACAAACGTATATGTTCATTAATCATTAATAACTTGGTAAAATGATGTTTTGAATGTAATAGTATAGGATGCTTCTTATCGAAATTATAATTTGAGTTTCCTAAACGACCACCCACACGAACCAAATCGTTTGAATCTACAAATGGAGTCAACTGCAGCAATTTACTCTTTTGTGGTAATTGTTTTCCTTGCTTTAGTAACCCAATTTCAATCGAAAACGATTGTAATTGGCATTTTTTTATTAGTAACATCTCTGAATTATTTATTTCATCGGAACTTATAGGGCCTAAATAATTATGTTTGTTTTTATTGCAATTATTAATAAAACGTAACACATATGCAAATGTTCTAGTTAATTTATTAAAACTAGAGTATCTTTTGAAATCTATAAATAAATTACCGTTATCAGAATTGTCTACTGCAGTTATCAACGAATGCATCTTTAACTCCGGTAAGTTTTGAACTGCGAAAGAATTATGCGGCCACTCTGAACGTTCCTTCTGTAGGAAAGAAGGACCTTCCCACCACAAAGAAGAAGACAACAGGTCCTGGGGTTCAACCCCCCTTGAGGCCAGGTCAGCTGGGTTCATATTCGTAGGTACATGTCTGTGTTCAAAACCACTTGTTAGCTCGTTAATTTCATTGACCCGATTGCAGACAAACATTTTAAGATTTCTTACATCAGTTCTTAACCATCCTAATACAACTGTCGAATCTGTCCAAATAGTTTGTAGGTGATATTAAATCGTAGTGACTGTATAATTTTATCACATAATCTAGCTCCCAGCAAAGTACCTAGTAATTCCAATTTTGGTATAGTAATAGGCTTTAAGGGTGCAACTCGTGCCTTTGCGCATAAAAGTCTGACAGTGATTTCATTTTTGTCATTTATTGACCGTAAGTATACACATGAAGCATATGCTTTCTGTGACGCATCAACGAAACAATGTAATTCTATTGACACGGGATTATCGCAAAGAATATATCTGTTGATTTTAATATTAGAAATGTAATGCAAATTAGAAATGAATTTTAACCACGTATCTAACAAATTGTGTGGTAAAGGGTCGTCCCAATTTAATTTAATGACCCATAGTTGCTGTAAAAATATTTTACTTTTAATAATGCATGCACAAATTAATCCCAATGGATCAAATATTTTGCAAATAGTAGCTATCACAACTTTCTTTGTAACAACTTGCGGTGGCGATTCCACTTTCGAGGGAAATTGAATGATGTCGAGTTTTGGAGAATAATTCAAACCTAGCACGCTGGATTCTTTAGTCAAATCTACCGGGTCGAATACACTATTTTCACAATCAAGCGCCTGCAAACAGTTTGTACGAATTTTCCGTAAGGGGAAACATGCTGAATCTAATATTTTCTTAACATTTACATATATTTGCTGTAATTCACTTTCACTATTCGCACCAGTATTTAAGTCATCAATGTAAAAATCATTTTTTATTATGTTCGCGATAACGTCATCATTACATTCCTTAGCTAACTGCAGCAAACACCTGGTGCTCAAAAACGGAGCACTGGCCAAGCCATACGTTACTGTATTTAATTGTAGAATCTTCAAGTTTTCGTTATTATTTGGTTCCGTACTAACAGATGAATCCCTCCACAAAATTAATTGAAGATGACGTTGAGATTCATGCAAGGCCGTTTGTCGGTACATTTTCTCAATATCTCCTAAGAGAACAAACCTATGCCCGCGAAATCGTAACAAAATTGAGAATAAATCAGACTGCACTACTGGACCTACAGCCTGTATGTCATTTAATGACTTCCCAGATGAGGTTTTGGCTGAGGCATCAAACACTACTCTCAATTTAGTCGTTTCACTGTTTTCGCGAAGTACACAATGATGTGGAAGGTAGTTCCCAAATCTTGGGCGATCTACTTCACTTAAGTGGCCTAATTCCTTATATTCATTTATAAATTTAGAGTATAACTCCTTAAGTTTCGGGTTTTTATTTAATTTTAATTCTAAATTTAAGAAACGTTTTTTTGCCATGTAATACGAATCACCAAGACTAGTTTCAGGTTCCTTTAAGGGCATACGTACACAAAACCGACCGTTGGATAAGCGAGTGGTGTTTTCTGTAAAGTCAATTTCACAAAATTGTTCCTCTAATGAGTATGTTTTTGTTTCTGTAGGTAGTTCTTCAATCTCCCAAAATTTCTTCAGAGAATTATCAAGATTCGGAAACTGATTGAAATAACAATAGACCTCAGACTTAGATTGACTGTTACCGAGTGGGCCGGCTATTAACCACCCTAATTGTGATTCCTGTAAAGTAGGTTTATTAAACCCTAACTTAATTTGATTTGTACCAATAATATTCCAAAAAATGTCAGCTCCTAAAAGCATATCTATAGCAGAAGGCTGGAAGAACCATGGATCCGCTAATTGTATACCACACGGAATATCTAACTCACAAACGTCTATTTCAACGATGGGTAAAATACCTGTTATCGTGGGCACTAATAAGCAAGATACTGGAGCACTAAACGTAGATGAACAAGATTTAATCATTACGACACACTGTCCTAAAATGTTAGTTTTAATGTTATTAAGACCGCAAACCTTTCTGGTTTCACTGAAGTTCTTATTGAACCCTAATTTCTCTCTCATAGCTTCGGTTAAAAATGACGATTGACTACCAGTGTCCAATAATGCTCGCGCCTTAACCTTTATATTGTTCAATTCATTAATAATTTCTACCTGCGCCGTACACAATAACGTATGAGTCATCGTCGTAGCTGATAACGTAACCGGTTCCTTTTGTTGACTATTTGCATTTTGTTCTGACGAAGTATTCAAGTTATCTTTATGAATCAAAGTATTGTGTTTATCTTTACATATTTTGCAAGAACCTTTTAAACGACACTGATAACTATTATGCCCACTACGTAAGCATTTAGTGCACAATTTTAACCTTTTTACTTCGCACATTCTTTCATCATAGTTCATTTGTTTGAACTTCGGACATTCATAAACAAAATGATTCTGACTACAAACAACACATTGATATTTTCCCGTTGAATTCGATGCAGCCAAAAAAGATTTCACCTGTCTTTTATTTTGAGAGTGCATAATATTATTATGTTCCTGTTTATCGGATCTGTTATAATGGGTTGTTTCCAATATGTCTGCTCGGTTACGTAAGAATGAATAAAACTGATCTAACGTTGGTAAATCTGATAGACTATTTTTATATTCTTCCCATTTCATACTAGTGTTGGAGTCCAACTTTGCTGAAACTATAAATATCAACAAGACATCCCATTGATCAGTGGGAAGCCCGAGAGTGTGTAAAGAACTCAAGTTTTTAGATAAATGATCAATTAAATATCGCAACGCTTTGAATGATTCCTTCACAATTGGTTCAACACTTAGTAACGACTTAATGTGGTTATTTATTAAGATATTTTTACTATTGTAACGGTTGCATAAAATTTGCCATGCTTTTTCATAATTGTCAGCGGTAAACTCAATTGATCTTATTACGACAGCGGCACTATTTTCTAAACTTGATCTAAGATAGTGATATTTATTGATTAATGGAATAGAATCATTTTTATTAACAAGGGAATCAAAAGTGTCTCTGAACTCTAGCCACTTCAAATAGTTCCCGTCAAACTTTGGCAAATTTATAGTAGGTAACTTTATAGAATTGATGGAATGTGAACATTGACTGGACATACTTTCGTCATGTAATGATCTCTTCTTCAAATTCGCACATTCAATCAACTCTTTAGCCATGGAAAGAAGAGAAAAGAATTGTGATTCAATAGAATCCCGCTCAGTTAACTGTTCTTCGTCATTTGAAGAGAGCAATTCAATATCTGATTGAATGACATTAAAATCCGACAGCAATTCTTGAAATTTATCAACCCGCAAAGATATTTCTGTAACTTGTATGCTAGTTAACTTTTTCGCACCTACCTGACTCAAAACATTGACATAATCTTTGAATTTTGTTAGTCTACCTTTGATTATGCTACGTTTCTTGACAAGCTCCTTTAAAGATTCTTTTCCCTCCATGACCAATAAATAAAATAAAGAAATTGAACAATGAACTAGGCAAGGTAATGAAATGATCAAACCAGTTATAACGGTTCCGTCACCGTGTGATCCAGCCGCCTCCCGATGTAGTTATTACTCGGATGCTTGATGGATTCGCCAACCACAAGCCAAGCACTACGCAAGAGATAATCTGGAATTTACATAAATATGTAACGTTAATATTTAAGTATACGAATATTTTTTTTTACAAGGGTATGCGGGACATAAAATGAGTAGTAGTGGGTAGCCTTTTTTAATAGCCTTTTATAATTAGGGGCGGAGAAAACTATATAAATAGCCACGTTTAGATTTTAAATATTGAGCTAGAAAGCAAATAACGTAACTGGTTATACCATTTTAAGCTAAAACCACAATCTAAAGCAGTTTATGACTGTTTTTAATGTTTTATCAAGACAAATGGGAATTAAAATGATAATGCGATAGGTATGTACCTATAGGCAAGCTTTCGCAATAGCCGAAGCGTATATAACAAAGAAGAATAGTAATAGTGCACTTGAAATACTATCCCGTAACACTATCGGAGCGGCAAGCCATACGCAAATCGAAAAGGAAAAATTGAGAAATAGTAGATAGGATAAAGGCCAACTTCCCTTGGGTATTCCGCCAGACGTCCTCCAGCAGTCCTCAGTACAGTGTTTATTCCACTAGGGCAGTAGGCAGCATAAGCAGCAATCCAATCCAATCTCTTTGTTCCGTGAATTCAAATTCCACTAACGGCTTTCCGTTGTTCTTCGATGGTTTTCCGAAGATTACAGCTTTGAGCCGCGATTGTTACACGGTCGCCAAATGTTTAGGATTTAAATGATGGTCGACTCGCTTTGGGTAAATTATAACTTTAATACAGATCGATTTTTACAAAATTATATTATGTGTGAGCGCACGACACGTCCGTCGCTGACCAAATCTGTAGGCGAGCCGCGCGGGGTGAGGCGGCGGCGGTGCACCTGACATTTGAGTGCGCCCCCCGCCCGCCGCGTCTCCCGCCGCTGAGCATCACACGTTAGATGCGTGAACACGGTAGTTTCCAACTAGTCAAATTCAATACTTTTATCGAAATGTCAAAAACGACACTTTTCTATGAAATTGGTATGAAATACTGAGGCATGACGTCCTAGTATTTTCACGTCAAATGGCTTACTTATTTCCTAATAATTGGCTACAAAATATCTAAAACTTAGTGTATCGATTGATGAATAAAAGTATAGTGTTTTTGGTTTTTTCGAATCATTTTATTTTTGACCTAGGAAACTACCCAATTGAACCCGCGACACGTTGCGCGGCAGCCATTTGCCTAGCCACCGCGCCAACTGTGCAGTTACTATACAAAAAAAATACTAAACTGACCTGGACAAGGGATTTATAGCAGCGTTGAAACTAAAGAACCTTCCTTTCGTCGACGTTCTGAAAAGAGATGAAATTCATCAATTAACTTACAGTTTTTTCTTTGGCAAATTCATGAGAAAATAATCCGTACATTTATTCTCGCGCGGTTTCACCCGCTGCTCGGCTCCATTTATTCGCAGCGTGATGTTTTATAGCCTATACACTCGGGAACTTTGTAGCTATTTATCAGTGAAAGAATTTTGGAAATCCGACCAGCGAGCGGTTCCAAAAATTACACCCTACATACAAACTTACAAAATTACCTCTTTATAATATTAGTATAGATATGTAATATACTCACTCAGTGCCAGTTGATATGTCGGATATTCTGTTATTAGTGTTGTTGCTAGATTCCATACTGAAGCTGTCGCGGAATGGCATCCGAAGCTGCACTTCGGGCGAGTCCACTTCGATGTCACAATTCTAAAACAAGTAAACATAATGTTATTTTTTTTCCCTTAGATGTTATTTTACCTGAAAATCCTAGCCTCGCTTGCAGATGCCAGGTACTCAATTCCTTATGGGATAGGGACGCGGGATACCTTATGGGAAATCTGTACCACCCATAGACATTTTTGTGTTGAAGTTACTATTAAAATTCTGTAGTTACCAACTAGTCAAATTCAATAATTTTATTGAAATGAAAAAAGGTATACTTTTCATCGAATTCTGTATAACATAAACATAATGTTTTTACGTCAAACAGCATACAGTCTAAAACTAAGTATATCGTCAAATCAATTAATGAAATTAAGATTTATATTTTAATAATTCATTTAATTGAAAAGACAAAATAATTTATTTTTGACCTATAAAACTATCCAATTATTCATGAAACAAATGAACGTCCATATAAATAAAACAAATTTTATGTGAATGGAAGTGAAAGGTCCTCTGGCCCTATCACTACCTAAAACGACGAAACACAACGCGTCAATGCCTTTGTAAATTTTTTTTTCTATGTAATAGGTCGGCAGACGAGCAGACGGTAAGCAACCTGTAGGTTACCTGATGGTAAGCAATCAGCGCCGCCCATGGACACTCTCAACGGAGGAGTTACGAGTGCGTTGCCGACCTTTTAGGGATTAGGGATTTGGAGATTTAGGGATTGAGGAGGGATTGGGGGAGGGGAAGGATTGGGCCTCCGGTAACCTCACTCACACGGCGAAACACAACGCTGTGGTTATTTCACGCCGGTTTTCTGTGAGGCCGTGGTATCACTCCGGTCGAACCGACCCATTCGTGCCGAAGCATGGCTCTCCCACACTTAAAGTTAATCACATTTATAATAAAAATAAATATTCCTTTACCTTCCGTCCGTATCGTTGGTGAACGTGTTGCTGTACCCTTCGGAAACATTTCAATAGATGTGCTTGCATCTCCTCCATGTCCGCAGACACGCGGGATCCATGCACGTCCAAACCTGGCAATTATTGTTACATTTTAGCAGATCCGATCGTTTTAATGATAATTATGTCAAGTATGCCACTTTTAAGTCACATTTTATCAATTTCTACTTTAATGTTTATTATTGTTACACAATTTTACTTTCATTACAAAGGTGTATAAACGCAATCTAATTCTAGGCGTAAAATAGACTATTCACCAACGATAACCAAATCAATGGTAGGAAAAGCAGTGAATAGGAATCCATTTACCGATATTTTAACTCAAAAAGTTACGTTGGTTATTTGTATAGATAACTAGCTAATTTGTATGTCTTTATTTGAGTTACAAATACGAAAAACCTTTTTACTATAAGTATTGTATTTTCGGACCGATCACATAAGGAATACCGTGATACAAAACAGGAGTCGCTGATTTGGGCCAAAAGGCAGCAAAATAAAATGGGACTGGGCCGTCAGCCGAATGCATCTGGAGCGATGGGCCACTATTGTCACCCAGTGGACACCTCAGGATGGAGGCCGCAGGCGGGGCAGGCCCCGGAAAATAGGGCGTGATGATCTAGACGCATATCGTCGAGACTGGTGGACACGGTCGAAAGATAGGGAGATGTGGAAGCGAGATGGGGAGGCCTTTGCCCAGCAGTGGGACATTACAGGCTAGTAAAAAAAACGTACGGGTCAAACGCAATAATATAAAGCGGTCTGGGCCAGGAGCAGGAGAAGGACCGGTTTTGTTTTCAGTCAGTAAGAGTCTGACACTCTCTCTCAGTCTACCCAGGGCGAGAGAAGTAATTTAAAGACTAATTAATTCAGTATTTTATATTTCGTTCAAAACGAGCAGACGGATTACCCGATAGTAAGCAATCAGCGCCGCCCATGGACACCCCCAACGGAGGAGTTACGAGTGCGTTGCCGACCGTTTAGGGATTAGGAATTTAGGATTTAGGGATTGAAGAGGGATTGGGGGAGGGGAAGGATTGGGCCTCAGGTAACGCCACTCACACGGCGAAACACAACGCTGTGGTTGTATCACTCCGGTCGAGCCGACCCATTCGTGCCTAAGAATGGCTCTCCCACACTTAAACTTATATGTTAAAAACAATTCAACTTCCAACCTTATAATGATCAAGAATTTAATATAAGGGCTTACCAAACTTCAAAAGTGGTATCTGATCTGCGATCAAATCCTTTAGTTCAGTGAGTAAGGGCGCGTGGTCAGGATGCCTCGCTTCATACGCCGGCGTTAGGAATGCACGCTCATAGTTCACTATACCGCCTTGGACTGCTGGGTCCAAAATACCTGAAGAATTAAAGTAAAATTGGAAAATTAAATAGAGGAGAGGAGGGAATATGTTAAAATATGTATTTGTGTTTTAAAGTCTATATATATGTCACTTTTTTTAAACAGTAAGAACTATACTTTTCGAAATAGAAAAAACATATTAATAAGCAGATTCTATTAACCAAAGTTAAGATTTTTAACCAAAAATAGAGAACAAAAAGATATTTAAATGAAATTAAATTAATACCATCATAAATGTACGTGTGAGGTAATTTTAAAATCGTATCGCTAATGTTGTAGTAAAACTATCTGTACCCACGCAAAATTTACTGGCTGCTTGCCTTCTTTTTTTGACTTTAAACAAACAAAACAAAAAGTATTTATTCGCGTCTGGGACGCATAAAAGACACAAAACGAACAATAATAAAAATAAAGGTAAAAATAAAAATACATTAAGAATGATAATACAATACAACAAAAGTAGAGGGTAGGAGAAAAATATGCGTCCGAGCACGCGAAATGGCCCTCGCTCAGCATTATGCAGAGACCCCATACGAGACAGTGTCGCGGCGCTGATTTTCAGCGAAACTTTACGAATATTATGTTAAATAGAAATATTTTATTTGTGATGCTTAAGTAGCAGATGGTCATAATTAAGTTAAAGGGCGCTATGCTCAGCTACACAAAAGGCAAACAAATTTATAAATGCAAATTAAAGAGAAAAAGTTCTTATCCGCAATTACAACACTTCAGTAAATTTTTGTCAAGTAGTCAAAACAGTTTATTTGGATTAGGCTTACGTCAAAATATGGTTCATAATATTACGATTTGTGGTAAAAAAACGCTTACTCTAAATAATTTGATAAATTATGTCTTTAACCTTTCCTGTTTTATACTAATGGTATTCGCTATGTAAAGTGGTGGGGAACGGCAAACCGATAGTAGCGCACGAGTTGGCAGAAATGTGAATTAATTCTGGACTGTCATGTGTCAAATTACTTTATTTTCATAACTTCCTTTATAATTTTAAGTAAAAACGTAAAAATTTGCGATATGGGTCATAGTACATGCTGTGTCTTAAGTTGTAAAAACAATGGAAAAAAAGTTCGTGCAAGTTTTATTCGTTTCCAACATCAAAGTGGACAAGAAAGACAAAAATGAATAGCTGCTGTAAAGATAATTAAAATCCTGTACGTTTTATGCTATCCATATCTTTCACGAGGAAGAAAATCGCTAGGTATAATATACACACTCACTTTTTACACTATTTTTTTCAACTTCGTTGAAAAACTAGTCGAAAATCAATATCTTATCATCTAGTTGACTTGATTTGACAGATGACAAGTCCTGAATAGTTGCGGCCACTAGGAGCGCTGTCAACGCGCACACAACGAATAGAATATACATTAATAAATATTAATCACAAACCTATTAGCCTCATGGTAAGTGGGTGTAGGGGCGCGTCAGGAGCTCTCGCCTCGATGATCAGCGATTTCAGTCTTCTATTTGAATCCTTCAGCGCTTCCACTGCAGCGGTCAGCGGGGATACTTCGTACGTACGCTGGGAACGTACTGGGAACCAGCGGAGAATGCCTGGAATGAGAATTGTAAAGTAATATAAATTTAGTTAAGATATTAAAAATATTATATAGTATATGAACTGTGGGAAAGCCATTCTGCACTTTCATGGACAGTAACGGCCAAAGGAGTATAAGTAGCTAAAAGAGGTACGCCTGTCAACGTATCAGTTTTTACTTGCATAAAATCGGTACGCCATCGGTTCTTCATACCGACATAAAGAACGGCATGACAGTACATGTCATCACAGGTATACAGGTAGGAGGTATTTATGAAAAATAGTTGTGACACAACTTTAAAAGTACTGTCCACGAACGTAAACACACACAAAAAACCGACATGAAATAAGATTGTCGATCGTTGTGTGAGTGAGATTGTCGGAGTTCTACCCTGCTGCCCCATTTCCCAATCCAAACCGCTAAAAAGACGGCAACCTTCTTGTTTGTAACCTGAACTCTAGGGTTACGATACTATAATTTACTTTTAGATGAACATAGCTCGTTAGTCTCTCTGCCCTTAATCATAAAAAATATGGTCTCGTCATAATCCACGAAGGAGGTAGACCATCAAATCAAAGTAGCAAGTAGTGTAGCAGTAGTATTAATAATCATTTTGTTTACTACAGGCACGATTCCAAACTTCGAACTAACGACATATTAATAAAAAATCCATAATCTACAAAATCAAATCTGCCAACAGAGAATTAACTCAAAATGCTATAGTTCAATGTCGAACACGTTGACGAAGGATGAAACAAATGGACACAAACAGAGTTTTTAAATAATTTTCATACAAAACACCTCACCTGGCAACTTTTCGCTAATTTCTAATTCAGTTCGCTCCAACCATCGAGTTGCAAATTCATTTTGATTCGATAAATCGTCTGTTGAGCCGTCCAACGATTCTTCTGTAAATAAAGTTTGAGTAATCTTTTACATTTGAAACAAAAAGAAATATATTTTTATGAATTTCTATCCAAACGTTTTCTGGAAGAGATCGCCTTGCATGATAAGACCACCCATTGTAATCAGAACATTATTTTACTATAAAATCAAAGTCAAAATTATTTATTTCAATTAGAGCCTTACAGGCACTTTTGAACGTCAAACAAAGCTTAAACATAAAATGTGTCAGTCTATCAGTCGGTCTTCTTAGTGAAGTGCTCGTTCCAAAGTGTAGATTCCTACGATGAAGAACGAGCAAGAAACTCCATGGTTACTCTTCACATACAGATTCTTTGGCACATTATTAAATTGGTTCGATTATGTAAGAACACTGAAACATTAATATTTATTCAAAGTTTTCTCGTTTATAAAGTGTCCAATAAAGTATATATAAATCAATAAGTAAATACCTGCTCTATAAAAAGGTCGGGAGAACTCAAACTTGTCGACATTATTATGTTTGTAGTACTGCAGTATTTGTTCCGCTATCGGCTTGCCGGAGAGTCGCTTCAACTTGTCACCCATAACTGGATCTACCGCGTTTATTTGTAAATCTGTTTTTGTATTAAGGTTCTTATTGTTTTGCGGTAAACTGTGGGAGAGCCAAGCTTCAGCACGAATGGGTCGGCTCGACCTTAGCCGCAGAAAACCTGCGTGAAACAACCTCACCATTGTGTTTCACCGTGTGAGTGAGGTTAACAGAGGTCCATCACTCCCCCTCCCTCCATCCCTTCCCAATCCTTACTCCTTCCGAAACCCTTACCTCCCTAAGGCCGGCAACGCACTCCTAACTCCTTTTGTTGCCTGTTTGTTTGTGTCAATGAGCGGCGCTGATTGTTTACCATCAGTTTGGCTTGTTTTTCGGCCTTTGCTCAGTAGAGGGCACTTATAGGACGATGACGATAATGATGAAATTCGACTGTAGCTTTTAGTGTTTTTCTACGTTTTAAGTCTCATATGTATTAGGGGGAGGCCTTTGTCCAGCAGTGGACGTCTTCGTCGATAGATGACACATAAAAATATTGTAACATATTCCTGTTCGCGGTCACTATTATTCGGACTGAAATTAGTACGAGCCTAAAACTCTAAGCGAAAAAGAATTTCCTTACACCATTATGTAACAAATAATATTAAAAAGGATACACTGTCCATCAGACTCCGTGATCTCTGGTCCAGGTGGATCTAACTTCGGTAACACTTCTGCATCAGGCCATTCATCTAGAAGCCGGTCTTTGAACTCTTGCAGTTGTTCGTATTCATTACCACGGTAAATATAACCCTGAAAATGTTAAGAACACGTTTTAAGTAGTTTGCGCAATTTTTTTATAAATGGGCAAAATGTTTGCGCATATTGTGAACACTAACTGGTGAAATTAAATCGAGAAATGTATTAATGGTGAGATCCAAGTTAAAATATCTATATAGGATCTGATAAAACTAAATTTTAAAAAAAGTTTTGAGTTAAAAAAGTTTAAAAAAAATAGTATAACAAACAGCTGTAAAGAAATTCTTTATAACCTTCTTTGGAGTGAACATATCGAACAAAGATCTTTTTGTTTACTACTGATGATCGATTTTTTAACGACATCTATGGTTTATCGGTTTAACTAATTACCTAACTAAATGAAATGTAAACAATCTTCGCATGTCTTTTTGTCCAAAACTTGTCTAAAATTGTAAGTAAAAATGTTTACAATCCGGTATTTACCTCATGAATCCATGGAACAATGAATTTATTTTTGTAAATAAGCCATAAAACAACACGTTTACGCGTCAAAAATATGTTAGCTATTAAACTAAATTTAAATAATATTTCTATGTATTTTGTACGATATAATAAACATACCAAGAATGTTTACCTTTATTTAGCCACCTAAGCCGATAGACCATAGGTAGATATTCTACCAATTTTAAAATCAACCCTGCATAGAATAGAGAAACAACGCTACTACCATAACAAAAAAAAACAACTTACATAAGGAGTCCTCAGCAACTCAGGGAACCCTTTTCCATGGTAAACGACCCTGAAGTATCCAGGGTGTGACCTCGGCGTCCTCAACATGGCATCATACATACTGGCTAATTGGGTATGAAGATCCGCAAGGGGCCCGTAGCCTAGGGCTTCTTCTTCATAAACAGATACTAATTCTTTCACTATTTCCACCGCCAATTCCCATTGACGACCACGGTTTAGTAGGTCGGCTATCACGAGGTATAGGTATTCCTGTTAACAATGATAATATTTCTTAATACATTTTAGTAAGTTACTTTTGGTTAGCGGTTGTCACACGGATTTAGTCGAAGCCTACTGAAAAGCGAAAATTCTGACGGAACCATAAGATATAAGAAAATGTTACGAACATTTATTAAAAATAGCTAAGGATTGTACAATTAATAATAATTAATAATTTATCTAACCCCAAGAAAACACCGGCGTTCTCGTACCTATTGTTCTTCTATCGTGTCTCGAATTACCACGTTTGAAAGGTTAAATTATATTAAAATATAACAAAAGCCATTGTGAGAATGCCTACGGCATTAAGTCCGCCTATGTAATGTTTTGTTGCATAGAGTTTGAATAAATAAATAAAAGCAACAATGGGTTAACTAATCTCGGGTTACACAAACATGTATCTTTTTCTGTGCTAATTATTATTATTATAACTTGTTGTAAGGATTGTATCTTTTTGTTCATCAATAGATTAATATTAAGTTTGATAGAAGAGGTTTCTCGCAAAGCCTGTACAAAGGTTTTGCAGAACACCAGAGCCTTGCGGAGTATACTTTGAGTTTTCTAATTATTAAGAAATAAGTAAGCTATTTGACGCAAAAATACTATGACGTCATAACTCAGTTTTTCATACAAATTTCATACAAAATTATCGTTTTTGACATTTGGATAAAAGTATTGAATTTGACTTGTTGGAATCTATTCCAACAAGTCAAATTCAATACTTTACAGTACTTTAGGACTTCAGGATTTGTGCAAGAGTAAATTAACAAACTAAATTTTAGGTATTTACCACAAAACTAGGTATATCAACAAGAAAAGTATTTTGAACATTAGTAACAGTTGAAAAATCTCTAGGCAATGCATAAAAGGGACAAATTTTTATTTACTCACTACCCTAATACCCCAAAAACATATTAACTAAATAGGTACTCTATCAATATCTTTGACTAACAAATTGATTAGGTTTTCTTCAACTTTAATTAATAATAAAATTCTATTGTGACGTACATACCTTCAATTCCCTATGCGTAGTATGACTATCGTGTTCAATAGTGGGATGTCTGAGCCGCGGCGGTAAGGGATCGTGGCTCCACGCTAGTAACTTGGCGTGTAGGCGAAGTGACAGTCCTGCTTCAGCCCATTGTTGAGCTGCGTGGTGCATTTTAGCCAGCTTATGGACGTAGCTGAAAGAAAAATGCAATGTCTTTTTACAATTTGTAGAAAGCGCTATTAGAGTACAAACATTAGTCTAGATTGGGAAGCTCGAAGACCAACGCGTTCTTAATAATTACTACCTAGTTTTTATCATCAATTTATTTTCCAAACCAGTTTTTTTTGTTCTTTTCATTAAAATGTGACACACTAGATTTTTTTCCGGTGTCTGTGTGCACGTTGTGTGGCAGCCAGTCGCCCATAATTAGCACCGTAAACCGTGCAGTTACCAACAATACTAACAAGTATTTTTGTTAGTACTCTCAAAACACAAAAGTTTTGAGATATTTCTTGCTTATGACTCAGAAAATATATAAGCCGTTAATTGTGCACCTGATTTCTCCACGTTCGTTCGAAATTACCATCGCTGGATGAATTAAAATATATTAAATTTTTACTTTTTTTAAATAAACAAACCTCAATTAAACTTCAAAAAAACCAAAACAATTATCTGGAAATTATGTTTATTATTACTTACCGTATATACATATGGGGTCGTTCAATTTGCTGGTAGAAATGCAGAACGCAGGTTGTTAGATGCATGCGATGCGGCGTGGCTGACTTTCGTGCGGCGGCGCGGTACTGTAGCAATGCGTCTAGTTGCCTCGCCGCAGCCGCTACAAGGGCGGCCGCAGCGACCCGGAGAGGACCACTGGCCGCCCCACACAGGGCCCCGCATAAAGACACGAAGCGAGCCCTCCATACTGAATCCCCGTACCCTTTCTCTACTAACACGTCTACTTTATCTATCATCTCGCTTTCTAGTTCTTTTAGTGGACTTTCGTCTGTGGAAGGAAATGTTTGTTTTGAGTGTTTGAATGAATACACTTTTATTAGATCACAAGTTTTTCTTATAAAAAATGTTATCGAATCTACATCATTTTAAACATTGTAAACTTTTAGGCTACTATCTGAGCATTTGAACTACGTTCTGCTCCAAAAAGTTTACTCATGTCATTTAAGTTAAGCTTAAATGCTAGATAAAAATAAATTTAGTAGGTTGGTAGGTTTTAAGTTTATTACCTTTTTATTCTACTGACCGTATAATCACGCGACTTGAACTCAAGTGTAAAAAGATCAATATTCGAGCAAGAGACATAAAAATTAAAAACCATCATAAAATAATTGAAGAACTCCTAAACTCCAACATACATTGTGCATAAGTATTATACTCACTCGCTTCTCCATTCAACACGCTATGACTGTATTCAGTCTGCATCATATCGAAGAATATCGGTATGGTAGTGTTCCGTACTTCTTCGTCTCGAAGGAATGACACTTCTAGGAATGGACCAACAAGACAGGGGATGAACGAACGCTTGTGATGGTCTGTGGAGAAAATATTTAGATTAAGTCGAGCAATACATATGTATACCCTAAGTATTATTTAGGTTTTTAGACGATATATTATAATGGCAGACTCTTAACAGAACGAGTTTAAACCTAAGTGGTTTTGGCGGCTATTTGCTATAAATAATTCTGTATTGTGTTTTGTTTATCTGATAAAGAAAGTAAGTACTTCTTTGAAAAGCAGTTACAAATAAAGATCAAGAGGCATTAAGACCGATAGATGCATTTCAAACAAGAGTAGTTTATTTCACTATATTACTTGGTTCAATCTACCATCAACCATTTCCAAATATCACATACAAATTCTAGAAAAAAACTTAATTATTTTTATAATTATTAATTCATCAAACTATTGTTGTTCTATTGTGTCCCGAATTACCACAATTGAAAGGTTAATATAACGGAATGACTCCTAAATCTTTTGGTGTTGAGGGTTTGGTTTTGGTGGGCGGCGCCGATTGCCGACCTATCCAATAAAAAAAGAAACATATCCTTACCTAAACTATACCACATTTCACTAAGACATTCAGCGACGCCTCTCCTTACATCGCCGTATAAAGCGCTGAGTCTTTGTTTTCTCGCTGCAGGTAGCGTTTCTAGCTGAAGCGGTGAAGACGTCGCGAGCGCAGCCCCAGCCTCGAACCAGGTGCGACACAGTGAGTGAATGGCTGTTAGCGTTTCGGTATCTGAGTCTTCCGTAGAGTAAAGACGGTCGCGAAGCGTTGTTGAGAGTAATCTGAAACAATTAGTGATCGGATCAGATCGGTCACTGAATGGTAAGTAATCGGCATCGCCAATGTCCACTTGAGAACTGACAAGAGTATTTGGCCATTTGAAAGTAGATTAAAGATTGGAAGGTTGCGGATTGGATTCCAGCAACCTTGACTAAAAAGCTCTACTAGTTTCGAACCACAGAGGGATGAGAATCCTCATGAGCAAGAACCTCTCTGTGGCTCGAAACTAGTAGAGCTTTTTTCAGTGAATACACTTGAGTAACCCGCGTATTTTAGTTAATTTAGTATGTCTCACGATAGTGGTATAAATCTAGCAACCTTATTTACACGGTGAAACACAAATGTGGTTTTACGTCGGCATTCTGTGAGTTCGTGGAAATAATCTGTTTGAGCCGTGACGAAACGAGGCTCTTCCACACCTAATGAGTTGAATTTACAGTGATATGGTGCAAGCAACCGAAAGCAATAAAGAATATTTACGTGTAAGTACATTTTAGCACGAAACAATTTCAGAAGATATAAAAAGAATGCCAGTCTGTTACCACACAAATTCAATTTTAAAGTATAGGTGATAAAACTTAAATTACCTTGACTAAATATAAAATTTATATGAAGAGACAAAACATAATGTTCTTTCCTTACCTCAATGCATGCAGCATAACATAATGCTGTAAATGCAGCATATCAGCCCAATGCGGTCTAAACACAGGCCTCTGTAATATCGCCAGGAACAACGACAGAGCGTCGGCGACCAGCGATCCTGACCCGCCAGCGTTCTCCGCTTCTAAGGCTCTCACGACCATCGAATACTGGTTTTCTGACATCTGACGTACCATGTCGAGTAGGACTGATAGGATACGTCTCTGAAATAAAATAATTTATATAGAAATGCGAGTAATAAAATTATATCTCAAGGTGTTTGCAGACCGAGTTATAAAATAAAAATAAATAGTAGGAAATTTTTTCGCATTTTCTGAACCCAAAAAATGAACAAACCGACTCTCAGATATATTTTGAGATTTATGCAAATGATATATTTACACAATGTCTGATTAAAAAAACAACCGTTTTGTCACTATATAACATTATGTGTTTTTGTACTGTCACAAAAAAAGCAGATACAGGTTTTTTTATTAACAGGTTCAAATTAAGAAAAGAAAATTAAAATTATTTTCTAGTCCATTTGAATCACTTCTAAACTTCTTTAAATGATGAAGCTGACATACATTACTGGTTAAAGACCCTTAAAACTTAAAAAATAGGATAACACATTATCCATTACTCCGGTTTGGCCTTGAGGAGCCCAGATAGGCTATTTGATTTAGTTTTTACCCTCACAAAATACTTTCATTTTCGTTCACTACTTAAAAAGGTTCCCACTCACCAACAAAGCATCTTCAGCGCTATTGGTTTGTCCTTCAGTCTTGCGATCCCTCAACATGGTAGCGGCCGTCTTCAATACGGTCGGCAGTAACCGTCTGGCCAGTTCCCCGCGGTCCGCCTCGACTGGACCGACATCGTCTCGAGCGAGGAGTGACATCACCTCGCCCAAAGTTTCCACGCAAAGCTCCACCTAATATACAAAAAAACTATTAGCTTGATCTTTTACCCATCATCATCATCATCATCATTACCAGCCCTATAAGTGTCCATTGCTGAGCAACGGCCTCTTCTTTCACAGGAAAGGTATGAGTATTAATGACCACTTCCATTCTATGCGGATTGGTCAATACTTTTTTTTTAATACTGTTATCATACAGCGTAGTATACATTGATTATTCTTTACAATAAGTGCCTTGTTTAGCATTTAATTCTTGATACCTTTTCAGGTCTAATTTTTAGCATATAACAAAACCTGTCCATTCTATGTAAAACTTGGTTTTCATTTGTTACTATTAATACCTAAATCTATTGGAATACAGATTGGGTTAAACGATAAAGTGTTTGAAAGTTTGATTTAAGTATTACCTAAAGATTAATGCGATTTTGTTAAGCATATTTTAGTTAACTGCTTGAACCAATATACACCATGGTAAATTTAAATGATTGGAATGGTTTCTCAATAAATTATAAAAGGAGGCTTACTATACAAAAAAATCCTTTTACTTTTGACCGAATAGTTGTAAATGTTGTAATCATAATTTGAATTTTTAAAAAAATATTTGTCATTTTTTATTCATAAGATAAAATAATGGGATTCATGATATAAAAGCATGAACAGCGTTGTAAATACATAAGAAGCATATATTTTTATTACTTATTAATCAAAGTATAGATACAATAAGTAAAATTATTAATTTAGGAACCACTTTCATCAGTCAAGTATTTTTTAAAGAAAAATCTTCAATGTTTTTCTATTCCTTATATACTTACACTATCCGCTTGATCTTGGGTGCGGCTGCATGAAATCAAAATATAATTAAACTATTTGCATTTCATATTACACCGGCCCTTTTAATAAACACGCAATGTACAACTTACATATACAACATAAATAATACTCAATTTGAAATAACGAAGTTTCGACAAGCAATTCTGACACCAATACTCATAAATATAAAGTATAAAATAGAACGCCTATGTTAACAATACCAATTTATTACAGCAGTCTGTTCTGTCTTATTTATGAGTATTTAAAGTTGAAATTGTTTTAAACTAAATGTAAATACATTTTGTTTTTGTCATTTCAAATTGAGAATACAAAGCGAATGTCTTCTGTGAATATAGTACAGGATGATTTTATTATAAAAAGCATGACTTGATATTAAATTAAGAGGACGAATGATAATTTTACGTTTGAATTTAGAAGCTGAAATAAAAGCAGTTATTATTATGGCAATTATAGTCGTATTTACATTTTTATTTTGAAATGTTACATCTGTGTTTGCCTCACTTCAAACAATTTAAATAAATATCTAAAATATGCTTTCGTCATGTAAAATTACTACCAAATTGCTCAAAACAAGACAAAGCACAAATCGATTAAATATTAAGATACTCTACAGACTATCAACTTCTTATAAGTAGTCATAAACAAAGGTCTACACACAAAAATAGCGAAATGAAGAACCGCACAGTTACATATTTTTCTTAAATATCAATTCAATATGGCGTCTTGTTTATAGTCTGTAGACTTTTAGAGTCTATATCTAAGGGCGTATACATACGATCTGCTGGTGGTGCGTGTGGTCAGGCAGCTTCGCCGTGTCCGCGCCGAGGAGCCGCGCCGCTTTACCCACGGAGCGCGACTTGTGGGCAGCCTCGCGATCCCACTGCCACACCCGACATTGCTAGCGGACGCTGACTTATTCCCGAATCACACAAGGCTGATCTCGTGTAGCTAACTTTATTTTTTTGTCACGTTATGATGTTTATTTACACTTTTATTAAAATAAAAATTTAACCTAGACTAAGTTCCGTTGAAAGGTCCTCAAATAATGTAATTTATTGACAAGGCAAATGTATTGTCTGCTTTAACGTTAAAAATAAATCATAACGTAACAAAATAATTACATCGGGAATTCGTCACAAGCGTACACCAAATGACTGATCATTATAAACTTAAAGTATGTTTATTATAAATCAAAAGTTTAACTGGATAACTTAGAAAACTCACAAATTCTAAATGTCATATTACTAAAAATCTTACAAAAATATCGTTTGTAATAATCAGTCGCTACACTAGCGAGCCATCGGATGACATCTGACATTGACAGACGAAACTTCATATGTCAAATATGACAGCTGTCATTCGATAACTCCCAAGCGCAAAACATGCAACACATCAAGAGTTTGCACACAATTTAGTCTTCAAGCGACATCGAAGGCGCTTGTTATTATAAAAAAAAATATTAATCTCGCTTATTTATTCTTTTTAACACCAACAACAAAAATAAAATGTTGCAATGTTATTTCGAGAAAATAATAATCGTAGTGTATAAATTGAAGTTTTTTTAAGAATGGATAGTGGATACTTGTAAATATAGATATAATATATTATATGTAGAATAAAATAGTTTTATAAACAGTGCAGAGTAAATAAATTCCATACATATTGTGAGAGAAGTCACAGGATATTAGTAAAGGTGTTCACACAGACAGACACACGAAGATCTAAGGCTTAAGCATGGTTCTTTGGTAGTGTGTGAATGAGACAGCGAGAACAGTTTCCCTTTCTGTCTGCTGTCTCATTTTATCCTAGTACTGTTTAAAACTAGTGCACAAATACAAAACACTTTTGTTCTTGTTTTAATTAAACCCAAACTCATAAGAAAGTACCAAAATTTAACTTCAACTTTACCCATTTTCAGTTAAGAAATATTTTCGTTGATTTGTTAATTTGACCCAGCCATTGTATTTTTTACTCGGAGTAAATTTAAAACATTTAGATTTTGTCAAAAATTCAATCCCATGTAATTAAACAGAACCATTTGCCTATGAACCAACAAAAAGTGCGTCACACAACTACACACAGTGTACAACTACATGCACACACACAAACACATAAAGAGGTGATGTTAGTAATACATAAATTAATTATAATACTGCTAAGTTAAAAGAGGTAGAAGTACTTACTGTAATATAGGTGTGTATTGTATATTTAAATGAAATTATTAATATATTTAAATTTAAATAATATTAAAGACTTACGTAACGTAAACTGTTTAAGGATTTTAGGCTTTGGAACGAGTAAATAGCTTCACTAAAAGGACTGACCGACAGACTGTTTGCTTTTAATCTTCAGTCTTTGTATAAAGCGCCTGTAATGGTCTAATTAAAATATACGATTTGACTTTGACTGATTAGTTACAAGATAAAACCGGGTCGCATAATCAAGTATAGATGAACCGTCATAGTACATGATTAAAAGCCCCGCTTACGACTTGAAACTAATCGAGCAGCTTCAGAATGTTTACGTTACGTAACAGGACTGTTAATATTATTCAAATATAAGTTATTCTAAGTTGTATTTCATGATAGTTATTATATAAAAAAAACATTAATAATTATTATCAAAGTGATGTTACTGAATCACGATTTGTGTGCACATCTCACGATGCTGGTGCGACCTACGTACGGTATTTAGTTAAAGTATTGATTTGCGTATGAAATATTAGTCAGACAAGAACCGACTCTATTTTCCATACAATAGCGCATTAATTTTAAAACAACACAACACAAAAATATTAGACACACATTTTTGTATTTTATTTAAAAATATACATATATGCTTTTATACCTTAAGATTTGGGATGGTCTGTGGTCAAATTAAAACCTTCCCGGCACCGCAAGAGAGTCGATTTTTGTCTGTCGGAGTGTAATGTATGCAAGGTAACCATTGTGCAATGCATACCATTCACAGGCATTTGTATTGCATTGCACATAAAATATGAATATCAATTATAATAAAATCAGCCTCAACTGTTTATTTTTAAATACTTAATTCATCAAACCCCAAGCGAATGCGGCGTTCGCGCACCTGTTGTACTTCTATAGTGTCTCGAATTACTATGACTGAAAGGTGACTGATCATTTTTATTCAGGCAATTTACAGAAACAAAATACACGACTACTACAATACTATGCTATTTGTTATCCTCTTGTTTTCGTGGTTTTTTAAGGAATAGATCGGCAAACGAGCAGATGGATTACCTGATGGTAAGCAATGAGTGCCGCCCATGGACATCCGCAACACCAAAGGAGTTACGATTGATTTCCGGCCTTTTAGGGATAAGGGTTTCAGTTATTTATGGATTGGGAAGGGATGGGGGAAGGGAGGTGACTGGGCCTCCGGTAACCTCACTCACATGGCGAAACACAACGCTGTGGTTGTTTCACGCCGGTCGAGTCGACTCATTCGTGCCGAAGCATGGCTCTCCCACACTTGAATGACGATAATAGCCTCGATATGGCGGTAATAGAACATGACCTTTGACAGATTACCTGATGGTAAGTAATCCGCGTCAGCTATTAACACCCACAATACCAGGACAGTTTGAGCAGTGCATTGTCGGCCTTTTGTTTTGACGGATAAGGGAGGACGATTGAACTAGTGCAGCAAAATTCAAAAGGTCAAATTTTGTGTGTAACATTAAACAGTTTTTTTTTTCCTTTTTATTCCTTTTTTTCACAAGTAAAGAAGGTAAATTTTGCGTGATGATTATAACCGACCAGATTAATTAAGTCGTTAATCGGATAATTCATTGATAATATTCTATTAACATTATAAACAGTTGAGGCTAAACTAATATAAGTAATTTACGGAAATATGCGGAGTTAGTGCATTAGAATTATACTCGTATATAATAATATTATTAAATGCTTGTTACATATGTCAATATTATTACATTAACAATTACAAGTTAGTAACAGATTATTTATGATTCAAAATTAGATCTTATTTCAAATAACTTTATATCTCATTTTGATTAACGATATGAATGAGTGATACTATAAATTTTAATTGGTGATTTATTAATCAACTAAATACCATTTTAATTGTTATTTTAGATAAGTTAATGTAAAAACGTCTACAAGTTCTATGTTTATTACAACATTAACTACTATCTAAGAAACTAGACATCTACACAAACATGCATGAGTTTTCACCATGATCAAGTTTCCAAACAGTTGTAAATAGAAAAAAAAAACAAAGTTTTAATATTATTATAACGACCAAAGTGAAGTAATGAGGATTTTCATGCCACAAGAGGCGCTAACATAGCTTTAAAGTCTATCAACCAATAGAGTACTAGGTAATATCAAGACATTCATGACATCTATGTTGATTGGCCCAACAGAATTATAAACTGCACTAACGCCATCTTGTGAGCTTAACCATAAAAAATGTATTATAAGTCAACCGAATTACAATGAAAACTCAAGCAATAATAACATCTATAGTATACAACACAGGGTGCAAAACGGGCTGCATGCATCGGCGTGCGTGCTTACCTCGGTGATTCCGCGACGCGCCATACAGACACAAACATACCTGGTTGGTTCCAATCGAGAGTATGTGGGACACGAATGATATAAAACCTTTAATTATTATTGATGGAAATGAACCTATCAGCCTGTCCGATGGAAAACATTTTTAGGGGATAACGTTAAGAGGAAGAAAGTTCATGCAAAAATTGTTCGTATATAAATCACTTAAGGTTGAATTTAAAAAGTTATGGTACCGAATGCAGTACGTGGAGCGATTAGTGTTGACATTACAACTCTCAAATCGAAAAAAAAAAACTTTGATTGAATAAAGGAAAGAAATGAAGATTTTTACTGTTACATTTTTATAGTTACGAATACGAAAAGCAAGCTTATAAAAGGACATAACGAGGATAATATAAGTATCTAGTCAAAACGTACGAATTTGATGACAAATATTACTATTTACTAAAAACATACTTAATAGAACATCTCAACAACAGTCAAACTCCTCAATATCCCCATTGTAATTCAAAAAAAATCCACTTCAAAAAGTCGATAAAAAACTATCGATACCCATCACTCGTGTCCCACATCCCCGTCCATCGATGTAGTGACGTAACACGTAACAATATAACATATATAAATAAATCACAATACACGAACACATAAACACTTACATTACCTATGTGCGGTGCTTGACATTCACGTGACATATCGGTGAGATTTATTCACTAGACGTACAAATGTTATTGACGAATAATACCTAAAGTTATTTATTTTGCTTTGTTTTGTAGCTAGGACTCGTATGTATGTAGAGATTATTAAAGAATCTATATAATACCTTGAAATTAACATTTCTATTGTATATATTTTCAGAGTCTCAGAAACGGCTCGAACGATTTCGATAAAATTTTGTATGCAAAGGGCGTAAAGAATCAAGGTTAGGTTTTTTTTAATAAATATAAACTAAAAAGAACCGAGCAAATCTCCGCCATCTAGACACACATTCCATTTTTTATATCATGATCGTAATTTTGCATTAAATAACTAAAAATAATACAAAAGCTTTATTGTTTCTGGAATCATAATTATAAAGTGAATCGCTTATTAATAACAGTTCTCATTGATTTAGAGACATTGGAAATGGCCTATCAGAATTTAAAAATTATAGTCGTCATTATACGAATAAACTACATTATTAAAAGAATATGCCACGCTTTGTTTTGATATATACTTGTCTTATATAATGAATTTATGCTGTATCCAGTCCTGACTACAAAACAAAAGTATAGTGCCAGTGCAAATAATAAAAATACTTACCTAATTATAACTATAGCTACATTTCATTTCGAAAGACGACGTTGCATAAAACAGATAAAAATTCTGAAATCTTCTAAAATCGGTATTTTTTTCATATGGCAAAATCGTCTTTCGATACATTCTGCGTGTAATGTATGGTGTGATGGGTCCCATTAAATTGTGTACAAAGAAATCTTGATATTATCGCACTAAAAACTTTGCACAGAAATATGTATTGTATTTTTTTATAAAACACATACAAATGTGTATGCATAGAAGTGAAAATAGTGTGTATTTTAATATTCTGTATTATTTGTTTTTTTGACGTTGTATATTTTTTGGTTTTTTATTTGTGTAGTGTTTATTAATGATATTTATGTACTGCGTGCTAGAAATCTAACTTTATTTAGGGCTTATTTTTCAATGGTTAGAATGAAAAGTTATCTGGGGAATAATTATGATGCTGTCGCGTCAGAATGTTTGTATAAGACAAAGACAGCAACAATTTTATTCTTGAAATAAAATTTATCTGTCTACTGAAAAATCAGCCCTTAGGCAATGATAATTCTCAAACTACTTTGATCTTTCACCATTTACTTTGACAATGCAAACTGAAAACAAGCGAACCTTTAACGACTACGACAACAACAACGTTATATTGTATCTTTTGTAGCCAAACTAGGGTCGCATAACTACGGAATAATTCATGACAACTAACAATTTAAAACTGATCGTCCAATCAAAATTTCCGTGAAACTAGTCAATGAAAAACCAACTCTAACACGCAATACATAAAGATCAATGTGCAAAAATAACATAAGAAATCTCACCTCAGCCTTGTCACGGAGCAATGCGCGCGTAGTGGCGGCTAGATGCGGCAATAAGAGCGCTCGGGCCGACGGCTGGGAGCATAAAGGACCGCGTACCAACTCCAATAACGCTAACATCCTTTGCTTACTGAGCCGGCCTAGGGGTAAGGCTTCCAGTGCTCGAACGATGTACGCACTGGAATTAAATTTTGGCGAAATCAGGGGAAAGTAGTCTTTATTGCAAAGACATGTGTTTATTCCAAAAAAATCAGTGGTATGAGGACTTCTGTACTGTACATGTTACTAGATCTGATATTGACATAATTATCGATTTAAACCTCTTATTAGCACGATTCATGGGACCCTAAGTCGCTGACGATCGCTGTTAGGCTGTCTTTAAATCGAGAGATCGAGAGTACCTAAGTCGAAATGATTAATACTATTTGATCGCCGCTTTAAAGACATATGTATAAAATACGGCGATTAAGGTTAAAAACGGAAATGAAGGTTAGAATCGCGTAGGATCTCCTTAGAATTTTTTTTGTTTATATTGGCCACAGAAGGTAATGTGAAGATTTATAGTACAAATTCGTTTAAACTTAAGATTGAAGTATACCAAAGCTGCTACAAATTAAAAGTTGCTACAAATCAAATGCCTTTGGCTTCGGCATAAGGTTCAAAATGCTATTAAAACTTCAAACAAACCTGAGTTCCGTATCAGGGTACACTTTGATAATGTGCGGTACAGCGTGAGGGAGGTATTTCAGCGCTGAGCCTTGACATGTGAGGGCGTGATCTCCACAACGCATCAGCCATACCAATTGTTTTAGAAGAGCCTGGAAGAAAAACAGTTTCGTTTTAGGAGTTTTAATTTATTCAACAGATCTTGGAAATCCACGCTTTGGTATGGTACGAGTTACCCTGCACGACATTTATGACGATTACTGGAAGCTTACGCAAGCAAAACAATCGTTTATTTTATTTATACCTGAATGAAGATTAAATAGTTTACTGAATACTGTTTAAGTATATAAGAGAGATCACATTTTTGGGTTTCCTAAAAGTTAAAAAGACATATGGTAAGGACTGGCCATTTTGAGCAACAATTAATGTAGCAGATTAGTTGTAGGATCAAAGATTATAGCAGTTACACAAATTATTTTATACATAGTTCTGTTGATACACTAAATTTTCGATACTTTTTAGCAAAATTTTAAGGAATAAGTACTAAGCTAAGCTATTTGACTCTAAAATACTATGGCTATGATTAATTTGGAGTTTCATACAAGCTTCATAGGAGAAGTCTTTGGCATTTCGATAAAAGTATTGAATTGGACTAGTTGGAAACTATCCTATTACGTGGTGAGTGCATACATCCACATTACATTATAACTGTCTCTGGTTTCTTAGCGACATAAATGTTTTTGTTTTTTTTAGACTTACCTCAAACAACAAGCAGAATTCACTATCAGAAGCTCGGTCTCCGAGCGCACTCCTCAACTGTCGACTTCTCACAATCAGTCGTATTAAACTCTCTATACATTTCATACACATCAAAAGCCTCTTCAAAGCCGCATCACCTGCGTTTGCGGCCGATATCACCCATACCATTACTGATATTAATTTCCTGCAAAACAAATTAATATGAAGAACATTTTTACTTTCCATTCTCTTAACTACATAGTGAAAAATGAATTAGCTTCCAGATGTCCGTCCCTACGTACGTATGCTTAGATCAAAATTCCGCGACAGATTCTGAAGGGGTATATTTAAGAGAATTATCCATTCCATTCCAGAAAACGAAGTCGGGAACAGGGAGCTAGTTTAATATATGCTTATTATCACAGGTTTTGCGAATGCATAAGAAAAAAAAGGGACCTAAGTGTGAGCCCTGAGGTATACCTTTTTTACGCTTATGACAAATAGAATTTCTACAATAAATCTACGTCTACTAGTATACTACGCCGACTTCTAATAAGAGACATAATGGATACTATGTGTGGGAGAGCCATTCTTCGGACACCAGGGCCTCAGAGAAAACCGGCATGAAACAACCACAGTGTTGAGTTTCGTCATGGAAATGAGGTTACCCGAGGCCCAATATTGCCCCTCCCCCAATCCCTCTTCAATCCCTAAATCTCCAAATCCCTAATCCCTAATCAGAGGGCCAATCCTTCCCGACCCTTACCTTCTCTAAAATTCATAAAACTTTAAACTCCTCTACTGTTGTGGGCAGCGCTGAATGCTTATTATTATTAAAACAGCTCATAACATTTTACTTACTCATAAGCCAATGCATCGCAGAAGCTATCGTCAATATAAACATGTAACACTGGTTGAAAGTGTTGGTACTTGTGGTCGGCTACTATTGATATCACTCGAAGCAAACATTCGAGTACTAGGACGCCATAACTATTATCTGTGTAGACATCGTCTTCGTGATCTTCTTGTACCTGAGGGAGGAACGTAATGAAAGCATCGAATTTTTGGTTAACTAAGATGACAATTATGAATAGTAGACATTTATGGGTAGTTTTAGTAATTATGTTCTTTTCATAGTCATAAATTATTGTCTCGACATTTTACTGGAATAACACATCCTACTCATGTTATAACGATTAATGTTTATGAGAAAGTATAGATGTTTAGAGGTATGAGAGAACAGGGTGGAAAGTTCCTCTTCCTCCACTGAAAAGGGAGGACTCTCCAACCAGGCGAGGTGTTCGTGCCTGGTGGGCTACTGCCCGACGGTTGTTGTCGGGATATCTGTATCGGTGCTAATTGTGTTGAAAACTCTTAGAGCACGATGTAGAAACTTGCACGTGATTGGTGCTGTTGTCAATACTGTGCGATAGATGTCGCTACAGATGCATGTTTGTAATTCTTTCGCACAAAAATGACTGGACCGATTTGGTTGAATTTTGGTATGTAGATGATGATACCCTGGGATGATACACATCTAGGCTATTTTTTATCAACTACCTCACAGGCGAAAGCAAGTTCAAAAATAATCACACTTAATTATTAATTTTACAATTACAAAAGTATCCCATTTGACGTAAAGAAATGTCAAAACATACATTCCCATACAAAATGATCAATTTCAACAACGATAAAAATGTTTTCTAGATATTAATAAAATATTTACCTGCGTCAGTATACTGAACAGGGCGTCCAATATATCTTGCAGGAACTTGACCAACTCTTCGCTCGGTACTACTAACAGTTGCATCAATGCATTCCGTAGCGTACCTTCCGCGTAGTGCGTGTTCCATTTTAAGACGCCTAAGATTTCCTCTGAAATGGAAAACGGAAAGGTTTTAAGCATGACCGCTTTAATTTTTTATGATGAACTTAGCGACTGGGCATCGCAAAACTTATTCCCTCACAAGACAAAACTTTTTTGTGAACTCCATAACTAAAATAGTTTCCACAGTTCAAAAAGAAATTTTTAAACTTATGAAACAATAAAAATAATATTAAATTTATTCACAGACCTCTGCGAGTTGGCTTCCCTTCGTACGCGATACAAAGATCGGGGACTACGCAGTCTTATGAATGGAAGCGAAATTGAAACACTTAAATATAATCACACCTTTCTGAATTCATGAATGTGACCGTATTCTTCATATTTATATCATATGTACGTAAATGTTGTTTGACGTAAAAAATTATGACGTCACAACGTGTGACGTAAAAATGTCGTTTTGGCGATCAAAAAGAATACTAAATTTCACTAGTTGAAAACTAGTCTATTGGTATTCAAGGTCTTAGAGCGATGCAAAGGTAACTCTTACAACACAGTAAAGAAAAACCAACAAATGCCAAAGACTAACCTCTCTGAGTTAACTTAGTGGAACACAGCTTGGTGCTAACAGCGAGGCTGTCCCTCGGTACAAGTTGTAGTACGCCGCGCGCCAGCCCATGCTCCGCGCCCGCCGGGAGCTCGTCCCTACGCGAGGGGAGGCCTAGGCAGGTCTCTTCAGCTTCGGATTGGTTGGCACGCTTGTCAATCTAGGAAGAAAATGTATTTTTTTATCGTTAGAGAGATATTTCGGGTAGAATACGAAGAGCGTTGAAAGATTTGGTGTAAAGAATTTTTTTTGGGAGTTAACTAAGACTGTAATGTTTCAACCGTAATGGCCTACATTACATTAGAAACAATCATCCTCTCCCCTATCCTTGAATCCCCAATACCGCTAATCCCTCTAATGCCGGTAATTCATTTGCATATCATATGTTGTTGCGGATGTCAAAAGACTTCTTTGAGTTTATTCGCTTAGCAATTTATGTCACATTGCTGACTAGGGTCACATGGGACAAACATAATGATCAAAAACCAGCTAGGGCTTTATTCCGTAAGCGTTGTTGAGGGTCATATTTTAAATATGTTTAATAGTTTGTCACTAATGTCACAACAAACATGCAGGTTATAATTTAGCAACCCTGTTATGGTTTGAAACATGTCGAGACGCCTCAAAATTAATAAAGTATAGCTCTTACTTGTACATATTCAATAATTTAAAAGTAATTTTAGATCTATTCAAAACGAACATGTTTCAATTGCATCTAATGAAAAAACACAAAAAACAACTATTCAAAAACCAACCTTATAAACGCAGAGATTATGTTGTGTATCGGGTGTAGTGGTGCCCTCTCGCTGCATTAGTCGTAGGTATGAGAGAGCAAAATGCCTTTCAGCTCTGTCTTTAGCTTCGTTTGAGGAACGGTGGCGGCAGAGGAATACTAAATGGGCTTCTTTAAACTCTTCTATGTTTAGGCACACCTGTGAAAGAAATAGGGATAGAAATAACGTCGCAGCGAAGCGAGGTGAGCGCAGTTTCAGTGTCATATGAATTTCTACTTTATTTTCTTGATAATAAAGTTAAACAGTAATAAAAGTTACGATGTAGGAGAGATATGCTTCGGCACGAATGGGCCTGCTCTACCACGGCTTCACAGAAAACTGGAGTCAAACAAGCAGCGTTGTGTTTCGCCGCGTGATTGAGATACTGGAGGCCTTTTACTACCCTTTCCAATCCTTAAATCCCCAAAACTCCTTATTTCCATAAGGCCGGCAACGCACTTACAACTCTTCTTAGTGCGGCTGCCATGGGCGGCGCTAATTGCTTACCATCAGGTAATCAGTTTGCTAGTTTGCAGCCGTGAAACATAAAAAAAGAGTTGAGCCTTAGAGTATCATGTTATATTAACTTACGCTCGAAAATTGGACTGCATTTCAAGATTTGGGGCCTATCTCACAACCTCAATACTCAATACATTGATTGCATTCCACAATGTGAACCTGGTAGTCCCTACTACTATAAGGACATAAGAATATGCATACATTAGTTTAGAAGCATGGTAAACCTTTATATAAATTTCAATAATAGTAATAATGCCATTTCAAAACAAAAGAAAAAGTTCATTAGTTTAACATTATAACATATCATAAAAAATTAACACAATCCCTATTTAAAAAAAAATCCTTACCTTAAATGTTTCTTGCCACCGAGGTCGATCGTCGTGGTAATACACTACAGATGTGTACTCATTGACTAATGGAACTCCAGCGCCGACAGATATAACGCCCTGTCAAGTACAATGCGATATTATATCGAAACTTCAAAATTATAGAATTCATTTTCACAAACAATCGCTATTGAAAGTTTTCTAAGAAGAATGGTATAATTAGAATAAGAATAAAGTGTTTAGAAACTGTTATAGCGACGATCTGGAATAACCTTCATACTCGTTAATGATAATTTATTTTGATGTAATATCCAATGTGTGTACCACGCTTTGGGGTTTTGAATTTTAATTTTTTTCACAGCAACTATAGGTACATTTTTGTCTTTGCTGTAATGCCCACTTTGATGTTGGAAACGAATAAAACTTGCACGAACTGTTTTTCCCATTATTTTTACTATTTACGACACAGCATGTGTCACACCCCTATCGCAAATCTTTACGTTTTTACTTAAAATCATAAAGGAAGTTATGAAAATAAAGCAATTTGACACATGACAGTCCAGGATTAATTCACATTTCTGCCACGTCGTGCGCTACGATCGATTTGCCGTTCCCCACCACCCACTTCGCACATAGCGAATAATCACATAATACTACGACCAGTACGAGCCAAGTAGCGAATGAAACTGAGTAGCTAGTTACTAATAAAAACAATAACAAAACAACACTCACCGGGAAAGTCTGTCCATGTTTATCGACAACCTTGGCGATTAATTCAATGTTTCTTTCCGAAGATTTGCCCCCTCCCTTAGAGAAGGAACCTCCGCATACAGTGACGTAGAGATCGTTGCGAGCGTCTCCTGGCATAATGACTTCGGGGAAACCCATTTTACGAGCTACCGCTGTGTTACCTACTACAAGATGCGGGTTTTCTTCGCGAATCTGTGGCAGAAAGAATATATAAGTCGGTGACGTCATTCACACGTCGCTTCACTAAGAGGACTGACCGACAGACTGACACTTTATATCTTTAAAATTTTCTTTGACGTTTTAAAGTGCCTGTATGGGTCTAATTGAAATAAATGATTTTGACTTCATAAGTGAGATTATTTAGCACAAGGAAAAGATTCTCAAACGGGGTTGCGAGGCTAGCTCGACAAGGTACAGCGAAGAATCAACGGAGGGAGGGGATTTAGTCACTAAGAATCTTTCTTCTTATTGTGAGGGGTAAATCATCAAATGACTTCTCCGCCCAGGATTGGGTGTCACTGACTAAAAAACACCCGTTCCTTCTCCTGCTTTAGGCCGAGGCCACGGTGACTTATTGCGCTTGCCCCACAACCCCGGCAGTCAGTATGAGTCTGACATTCCCTTTTGCCCACTTGCCTCACAAAAAAGGGGTAAGATTTTAGAATTGCTTAAGGATTTTAAACCTAAAGAAATGAAGGTCCGATGTTTGAAAGTTTTAGTTTCACTTTTGATAAAACAACATAAATCAACATGTACTATCTGAAAATGTAGAGGGATTAGCTACTACATCTCGTGCCACTTAGGGTTAGAGAAGCCATCATATGATTCTCCCCCCCGACCCCCCACCCCCTTCCAAAAGCACTTCACCACACAATCACCAATGTAAACTCACAAAGCATCTTACCTGTTTCAAATCGCCTTCAACTAGCCTCACAGAGACCCACAATCCTTGTGAATGTTTAGCATCCTTGATGTCACGGTTGGCAATGATTTTCTTTAGCAAACAGTCCAAATTCTCCTTTTCATATCTGTAACAATGTGTTTGGTTAGATTTTGAAAATAACGATTTATAAATGATTATATTTACCTATACGTAATTACCAAGAAGTATGATGAACTAAGAAACCATTTACATAAAATTCAATAGTTTGATGTTTCAGTCGGTATTTAGTTTTAATTCAACCTGAGATTAAATTGGTATCATCCACGTTTGTTATATATAATTTGATGGGTAAAAGTACTCTTTAATGGCCTATTTGCAAGAAACGAATACATTGTGACGATTTCAAACTTATAATTAGAAATATAAGTCCAGATTTTCTCACGATGTTTTCCTTCACAGTTTGTCAGTGGTGTCTAAATAATCACAGAAAGTACATATGACTCGGAAAAAGTCACATTAGCTTGCCAGGTTTTTAACCCCTCATGTATGAGAAGCGTGCGCCTTAACCTCCAGGCCACCACGATGACTGTGACATAATTATGTAATATCCTAATACTTACGCGTAAAATGGCACTTGTATATGTTTGTCGGGGCTGGGGCAGTCGATGTTGACGAATCGTTTAATGTCTGCGCAGGCGACGCCGAAGGGCCGACGCATGGAACGAGCTGACGGAGATACTACGGGCGGCGTTTGAGCTACTGAGCTGCGTCTGTAAATGATAAAGATTATTGTAATAGGTGTGAAGTGAGTTTTTAAATGTAAGTAGGAGAGACAAGCTTCGGCACGAATGAGTCTCCTCGACCAAAATGATAACATGGCTTCACAGAAAACCGGTTTGAAACCACCGCAGCGTTGTGTTCCGCCGTGGGAGTCAGGACCGGAGACCCAGTCCTTCCCCTTTTCAACCCCTAAATCTCCGAAACCCTTATCCCTAAAAGACAGACAACGCACTCGTATATATTCTGCTGTTGCGAGTATTCAGCAGACAATAAGCCTGTCCGTTTGCCATCTTATCGCATAAAAAGAAGAAAATTCACTGAAACACTTACCTATTATCGATATTCTGTGCGTCCATATTACCTATCCTTACTATATTTGATACCAAATATATTTTCTCACTCTTTATTATATCGCCACCGAAATCCTGGAACAAAGATAACGTGGTTAACATTCATAAATAAAACTAGCTACTCTCGCGCGGTTTCACCCGCTGCTCGGCTCAATTTAGTCGTAGCGTAGATGTTTTAGCCTATAGCACTCAGGAATATTGTAGCTATCTATCAGTGAAAGAATTTTGGAAATCCGACTAGCGGTTCCAAAGATTACCCCCTACATACATACAAACATACAAACTTACAAATTTTACCTCTTTATAATTATTACATTAGTATAGAAGAAATCGCAATATGTTGGTGAGCGCATAACTCAACAAAGCCGGGACCAGTTTCGTCCTTTTTTTGTTTTATTTATTAATGTCAGGAAAGGGTTATATTATATTCTATTAGAAAAGTAAAGGAGAAAATTGGGAAAAAGTGACCCAAAATAATTAATATGGCAAAACGTTTACCAGATAACCTAGTTATAATAATAATACTTACAGTAAATACAACTAAAGCGGTGCTAATGTGATTCGTAGGCCATCGTAGTAACAAATGTTCAGTAAGTTTAGCTCCCGAAGCGTCGTGTAAGGCTAGAGCTATTTCCGCGGGCTCGTTCATACGACAGACGAAGTTGTGAACGCGAACCGCTATGGTGTATGTTCGAGCTCCCGGCGGAGTTGCTGGTGGGGGACTGACTGGTGTTGTTTCCTGGAAGAAAAATGCATTTATTTTGTTTATTAATTCAATCCGTTCATAATTTTTAAGAGCAAATCGTACTATGTTTTATTTTAAATTATTTAAAGTCCAGTCTCGGTAAATCTGAATATAGAACGTTATCTGAATGTGGCACATAAGTTTATTGGGAACAGTCAGATCGTAAACAGGCCGTGTTTTATAATATTTTTGCTTTTCATTATTACAATCATTGAAGCTACGGTAATTTAAAAAACCAAACTATATGTATAAACATAAAACTTCATCATTTATCAAATAATAAGTACAAACTATAATTGTGTTAATAGGGATGACCACAAAAAATAATTAGTCCATCTTTTAGAACGCCAGAAAATAGTAGATACGTGTTTTTTCTTTTGCTTGTAAAACTTAAAATAACAAAGTTACAGAGCGGCCAAAGTTCGCGCTACGTCATTATTTCGTAAAATTTTCACGAAAGAGTGACGTCACGAGCCCCTAATTCTGAATTTGAATGTGCTGTATCTAACTGACGGACTAATTAAAGCTTTGTTGTTTTAACCCAGGAGACATCCCTATTATAACCTTAGTTAAACTACAACAAGTTTCATATTCCAACTAAAATAGGTAAAAAATACTCACCATATTTTTCTCAATGCGAGCATTGGCGTCATCATGGAGTGCGTTTAGTTTGTACGTGGAGATCTTTAGAGGATCGACCAGCTGACCGTTTGCCGTTCTTACTGCTAACTCCATGCCTAAGGTTCTGTAAAAGAATTATATTTAAAAAAAAGAGAAAAGTATTGTGTTATGTTATGAAATGGTGACCCACCGGCATAGCGCGGTTGAAATGTTGATACTAAATATCTCCACTATTTCATGGATGTTTCCTTGCACCTTGCACTTCAATCACTCCATCAATTGAAGAAACCGCAATAAAATCCGTTGTGTAATAAGACCTATTTACGCAAAAAGGATGCAACACACAGTTTGGTTGAAAATAAGCTGTAGTTGCCAAATAAATCTTTAAGCCTTAAAGTTTAAGGTCTATATTTTTCATTACTAAAATAACCTAATCAAAATTCAAATTTGTCCTTTTTAAAATATGGGGTACCTATGACTGATTTTTACTTAAATTCTGTAAAAACAATCCAAACTGTTTAGATCACTATAAATAAATTATACCAAATTGAATTATGTCAACAACTTATACCTTTGAATGGATCCAATACACTTGAATTGATTTCCAAATCAACAAAATCAATGAGCAAAGATCATTTTAACTTTAAACGTCAATATCTCAAAAGTATCACTCTGAGGGTTGGTTTCTTTTTGGGTAAATACGTCCAATTTCAAAGATTTGAGCGTATATAGGGATATAGGTACAGAAAAAGCGACTTTGTTTTATACTGTATAGTGACTATAATTACCTGTTCCCCTTATCGATGGTAAAGACAGCGGTTCTGGCGACTTTTCGCAGCGTATCCTGAGGTAATGCACCAGAGGCGGCTTGAGCTCTCAGCTCTAGGAGCGCTCGCATGCTCACCTCCATAAACTTGAGACGCTCATCGTTGTTCTGTGAAGTAAAAAGGTGAAATCAGACTTATTTCTTAAGGAACAAAGTTTATATTATTGCGTTTTTATTAATGGACTTATGCTCATCATTGTTTTGTGAAGTATAAAGGGGTAATGAGACCTATTTCTTAGACGATATAGTTTGGTTTGCATTGTCATTAATGGACTTGAAATGCTCATCGTTGTTGTGTGAAGTAAAAAGAGGAAATCATACTTATTTCTTATGGAGTAAAGTTTATATTGCATTTTCATGACTGGACTTGAGACGCTCTTTGCTGTTCAGAGGAGTAAAAAGATGAAAAATCAGACTTATTAATTAGACTATAAAGTTTGGATTGTATTGTCATTACTGAACTTGCAACAGTCTTTGTTGTTTTGTGAAGTGAAAAGATGAAATCAGACTTATTTCTAATGAAACAAAGTTTGTATTGGATTGTCATTAATGATTGTATTTTTGACATGAAGTGAAAGCAGGAAAGGTGAACCTCGATCATTCATTCAGTTACTTTAGTTATTTATGTTTGTAATTAATAGAAATTAAATTTAAGTTCATGAATATAATTATGGTAATGTTTATATTGATAATTAATATTTTAAACATATTATAAATGTTGAGATTTGAATAAAAGATGTTGTAATATTATCTTGTTTTATTAGACACACTATTTATTAGACATTCCAAGACACACTGAGACAAAATCTTTTTCACTAGACACTATGACAGTTTATTTTGTTTTTACTCTTTTTATTACACTACTAACCAACCTTTTTAGTCTAATGTTGGCAACAACCTAAACTAACTAATAGTAGCGTTGTGTTTAGTAGTATGTTATTTTAATTGATATTACAACACCCCCTCTCAATTAAATAACATACCTAACAACCTCAATAAAATAAAACTAAAGTAAGAGGTACTTTAACTAAAATCTAACTTTAAAAAAAAACTTTAACTTAAACATTTCTTCAACTTCAAAACAAACAATCACTTCCTTTAACTGATACTTGTTTTCATAAACAACCACAACTGTTAAACTTTTAACTTTAATTCTACCTATTGTAAACCTACTCTGCACTTCTTTAAACATTTTTCAAACAAATTTCTATTTAAAGCTTTTGTGAACATATCAGATGGTTGTTCGCCAGTTTCAACATATTGTACACAAATTGTGTTATTTTGTATTAAATCCTTAACAAAATGATATCTAATATCTACATGCTTTAAACGTTTTATGGATTCTGTCGCTGCAGTAAGTATGGCTGACTGATTATCACAGTAAATGTTTACTGGACAAACATGAAAACCAAAATCCTTTAATAAGTTTATTAACCAGCAAGCCTCACTTGCAGCCATACTCATTGCAATGTATTCAGATTCAGTTGATGACAAACTTACACATGTCTGTTTCTTAGAACACCACATAACTAGGCAATTTGAAAACTTAAACATATACCCTGAAGTTGACTTCCTATCCTTCAAGTCTCCTCCCCAGTCAGCATCACAATATCCCTCTAATATAGCTTTATCATTACACTGGTAAATCAACTTATAATCTAATGTATTTTTAACATAGCGTAGAACTCTTTTCAAGGCAACTAGTAATACATCATTAGCACATTTTTGATACCTACTCAACATTGAGATAGAAAAACATAAATCTGGCCTAGTTCCTGAAACAGCGTACATAAGACTACCTATTATTTGCCTGCACAACATTTCAGTGTTTTTATTAGTACCATTTTCATTATTTTCATTTTCAAATATTTTTGCATTAAAGTTAGGATCCATAGGAGTCAACATTGGTTTACAGTCCTTCATATTGAATCTAGTAAGAACATCCTGCAAGTACCTTTTTTGAGATAAAACAGTAATTCCTGTTTCTAAGTTTTGATCAATATTTATACCCAAAAAATCTGATGCTCTCCCTAAATCTTTCATTTCAAATTCTTTATTTAATACAGTCTTTAGTTTACAAATTTCCTGTTCATTATTTCCAAACATCAAGAGATCATCAACATACAACAAAACAAAAGTCTTATTTTGATCACTACATTTAGTATACAAACATGAATCACATTTTGATCTTTTGAAACCTTCCTTAGTAATTACAGAATTGAATTTATCATTCCAACATTTTGGAGACTTCTTTAAACCATATAACGATTTATTCAATTTAACAACATCATTATTTGAATAAGCTCCCTCTGGTAAACGAATATAAACATCATCATTTATTTCCCCATACAGAAAAGCACCTGTTACATCCATCTGGTATATTGGAAGACTTAATTTAGTTGCAATTATAACAAATAATCGAAAAGTAGAAAGTTTAGCTACTGGTGCATATATCTCACTTAAATCAAAAACTTCTTCCTGTTCAAACCCTCGTGCTACTAATCTAGCCTTATACTGTTTGTTTTTATCTGTCCCCTTCACTTTAAAAACCCATTTACTATTAATAGCTTTAACATTTTCTGGTAATGTACAAATTGACCAGGTATGATTATTTTCTAATGTTCGTAACTCTCTATTTATTGCTTCACGCCACTCACTTGCATTACTACCACTCATTGCCTCTTTGTATGACACTGGATCACTTTCACTGTGTGCACTATTACAGGTATAGAAAGATGTCTGTTTCCTAACACGCTTGCTTCTTCTATTCTGAGATGGTGGTGTCTCATTCTCTAAATCAGACGAATTCAACTCCTCAACGCAAGGTTCATATTCACTACCAGACAAATTATCATTATCAGTAGAATTATCAGAGGTAAGTGTTACATCCACAGGGTTCTCCTTATTTTCCAAATCGCATGTTTTCGTGCTAGTATAGTCACTACTCATGAAAGGTAAGCGGTGAATTTTACCTAGTAAACAATCTTCACATTTGGGAACCGAATGTTGTTTTATTTCTATGTTATTTTTATGCAACACTTTCTTTACGTGATCGAAGTTTTGGTGAGCAAATCGTTTATGCCATACATTTAAATCATTTTCTTCCGACTTTGCAACACTCGCCGATTCACTTTGATAACGTAATTTCATGTAATAAAAATTCCCTTCTCGATTAGCAATAGCACAAACACGTCCATTTTTAATAAATTTACATGAACTGTCATCTGTCATAATAATATAACCCTTATCTGTGGCACGATTGACCGAGAATAGATTAATCTTCAATTCAGGAACAAATAGAACATTGTCTATAGTTGTTGTCACCCATTCATTTCCGTTTTGCACCTCCACCGCCATCTGCCCACATCCGAGAACACTTATGGCAGCGCCATTACCGACGATTACTGTTTTTTGCGAAATGTTTGTTGACAATGAACTGAACAATGTGCGATCGCAACACATGTGTTCGCTCGCTCCTGAATCCACCAACCACTTAGTTTCCTGATACTGTTTATAATTTGAGTTGAACACTACGAACGCATTATTACTTTTCTTATGTTGTTGTTTATCTTTGTTTTTCTTGAACCAACATTGAGATTTTACATGTCCTAATTTACCACAATAATAACATTTATTCTTCACATCTTCCACATTATTTAGTTTTTTATGATAGTTGCTATTACACTCATACTGGAAGTGTCCGACTTTATTACACTTAAAACACTTTACAGTCTTTCTGTCTTTAACCACAAACGCTGATGATGATGGAGCCTGATCCTCGTTCTTTTCTTTGATTCTTTCTTCCTCTACTAACAATCTTGCCACCAAGTTGTCAAACGTCTGCTTCTCATCGGGGGCCGACTCCCACGCCGAAACGAAATGTTTGTACTCATCGGGTAGGGACATGAGTACTTTAGTTATCACCAACTTATTGGATATTTCTTCGCCCATTTGTTTAAGTTGGTTTTGTAGCTCTTGAATTTTTGACAGAAACACTGACATTTCTGTTCCTTTTTCAAATTTGAATTGGAAAAATCTTTGTTGAACAATATGAATGCTGGTTTCAGTCTTTTGTTCGAATACGCTTTGCAATTTCCTCCACATTTGCGACGAAGTTTCGCAAGATATGATATGCAGCATAACTTCTTCAGTCATCCGAGTTACCAGCAATGTCTGCGCCTTAGCGTCCTTGGCCTCCCAGACATTTTGTTCTTGCAGATTCTCTGGTTTGATACAACGTCCCTCAACGATGTCCAGCCATCCTTTACCACGCAATAAAACTGTAGTCTGAAACTTCCAAATGTTCCAGTTTCTGGAACCTTCCAGTTTTATAGTACCAAAGTTTATTAATTTATCACATCCATCCATCTTTGTCAATGTATTTTCGTGCCGCTTCCAAGATACTGAGCCTTCTTGCAGTTTTCGTGAAAAGACGCGTAAGACGTACAGCGTTTTTCACCTAACCTCAACACGTGCAATTTGCCGGTTTGAGTTTTTGCAGTATTTACTTATGCATCCAACATCTTTCGTAAAAAGAAAATAACGAAGGATTATGTGCCTGGGCCCATAACCTGTTGAGATTTGAATAAAAGATGTTGTAATATTATCTTGTTTTATTAGACACACTATTTATTAGACATTCCAAGACACACTGAGACAAAATCTTTTTCACTAGACACTATGACAGTTTATTTTGTTTTTACTCTTTTTATTACACTACTAACCAACCTTTTTAGTCTAATGTTGGCAACAACCTAAACTAACTAATAGTAGCGTTGTGTTTAGTAGTATGTTATTTTAATTGATATTACAACAATAAATATACACAATAACTTTAACCGTTTCATAAACTGTATTTAAGCGCATCTAAAATATAATTGGTTACTACCCTATAATATCAATCAATAATCCCAATTTAAAAACAATATCAATTTTCATAATCCGAAAACCGCATTAGCCTAATTACGAAATCAGTCTCTAAATCACCTTTCCCAAAGCAAACATTGATAAACCATTTTAACTTTTATCAGCTGCTTGATATTCATTTGCTACTCCATATACCTACATATAGAAAAATATTAATTTATATTAATTGAAATTAATATTTTTCTTTCTTTTCTTTTAAAAAAACGTTGCACCACACTAGGATTTTCTCCTGTGTCATGGGTGCGTTTACAAACACACAATTTCACATACACATGACACCCAGACCCGAAACAACGATTTGTGGATCACACAAAGTGCTGTTCCGTGCGGGAATCGAACTCGCGACGCCTCGCACGGCAGCCAGTTAAGCCCAGCCCGCCCAGCCACCGCGCCAGCCGTGCAGTCAAAAAAAGTTTATTACTTACAATGTACAGCTTCTTGCAATGCTCCAACCATTCTCGTAGAGTAACGGCTATGTCGTGGACAACGCCGATGCCTCCGGCAGACGCAACCACCGTACCACCACATCTAGAAATAAAATATACATAATATAACTATTTAATAAGCTCTTCACTTCACAGAGTCGTCTACATCAAAATGCTAGTGAAAACTTTTTTGTTTGAGGAGGGAAAAATCATCAAATTTCTTCTCCCACCCCTAGTGGGGCGAGAGGGAGTATCAGACTGTTACTGACTAAAAACCACCCCGAGCTTTCTGCTGCTCAGGGTCTGAGCTGCATTACAATATTGTGCTTCTACCCACAACCTCCGCCAATCTTGCCGGGGTTGCGATTTAAGCGCAATGAGACACCGCGGCCTCTGCTCAGAACAGGAGAAGGAACGGGGGTATTGTTAGTCACTATGAGTCTGACACTCCTTAGTAATAAATTATCATATTAGGTATCATTATTAGATTTTACCTAGTTGTGCTTCCACCACTTGTTTATGTATATGTGTGGAAATGAAACAAAACGTGTTTGTTTTTATGGGACAGGGTTGAAACGGCTGATTAATTGATGGTAAGCAATCTGCTGAGGCTATGGACACTAGTGTAACACAATAGTGTAGAGTTACAAATGCATAACCAGCCTTCTGGAGACGAGGGATGAGAAATGGGCCTAAGTTCACGGTCGATCAAGCGTTATTTCACGCAGGTTTCTAGGTGTCTTACGAGACCCTGTGAATACTTCGGTCGAGTCGGCCAATTCGTACCGAAGCGTGATCACTTTCTATCATTAAAATATTGTTGCCAAAGTGACGTATCTTACTTTCTTTAAAACTTTTCCCCACAATAGGATTTTCTCCTGTATCGTAGGTGCGTTTACAAACATACAATTCCACATACACAGACCAGGAAACAACAAATTGTGCATAACATAAAGAGTACGCCGCAGCCAGTTGCTCAGCAACCGCGCCAACCGTGCAATCAATGTGGTGTATTCCAATTATGTGTCAAGTTAATGAATAAAATTCTACGTATATTATAAACACGATAATTTGTTTCTTTTTCTCTTAAAAACTACTAATGTACCTCTCTCACAGTCAAAGCCAATGGCACACAGCTATATTATAGTCAAATCGGGAAATAGGATAGTTAGCTTATAGGCTAGTTTTCATCTAAAAAACGCGGACAAAGCCGCTGGCAGTACAATATGCAAACAAATACAAGTATACATATAATTATAAGAATCAAGTAGCTATATTAATACTTATCCTAAATACAAAATATGCCTACAAAACAAGACCATTTATAAACAGGGCTGTTCAACCAAAATGTACGGTACTTAATAAGAAAAGTTTTCAAAAGTTCTGATGTAGAACATAACAATAATTGGCTTTCCTCCATTTACTGAAGTTGTAATGGAAACAAAAATAATATAGGCTGATTATATTATTTAGGTATTATTATAATCTGTAACGTTTTTGTTTTTAGGGTATACAGTTATTTTCATACGCCCACAGAATTACTAATTCCTGTAGGTGTCTTAATCGTGGTGGCCCGGAGGTAACGAGACTGTGCGTTTTCGAAACTTGGCGAGTAAGTATTACTTGAGACACCAGCATCTTACAATATAGGTAAACATCGTGAAGAACCTGGACTTGTAATTTCTAATAAGTACTAGTATTACAAAGAGGTAAAATTTGTAAGTTTGTATATAGGGGTAATCTTTGGAACCGTTGGTCGGATTGCCAAAATTCTTTCACCGGTAGATAGCTACAATACAGAGTGCTATAGGCTATAAAACATCACGCTACGATCAAATGGAGCTAAGCAGCGGGTGAAACCGCGCGAGAACAGTAGCTAGTAATTTCTAATTAAAAGTTTTAAATCACCAATCCACCTTGTGCAAGCGTGGTGATTAATGCTCAAATGCCCTTCTACGTGTGAGAAGAGGCCTTTGCTCATCAGTGGGACTTCTATGCTGATGATGATGATGTAGGTGTCTAATACATATATACATAGTAATGCAAATCTGTGATTTCCGCAACTGCTTATGTAGAAAACAGAAGCCAATGGTAGTCTTATTGAATAAGTTTAGCCTGATGCTAGAAGAAGGAATTCTACGAGATGTTTCCACCTTGGGCTAAAATAGATGTTTAATTTTAATAAGCAGAAGGATTGGGCCTCTGTTCACCTCACACACACGGCGAAACACACTGGTCATTTCACGCGGGTTTCTATGAGGCCGTGGTATCACTCCGGTCGAGCCGACCCACTCGGGCTGAAGCATGGCTTTCCTTTTAATCGATCAAACTTGAATATCGAAGTTGGTGACTAATATGTAGAAATCATGTATGTATGAATAAGAGTACTTAACTATTTAAGGTTGGAACAGACAAACGTGTATAAACAGAATAACATTTTAATAAATTTATGACTGGGGGATCCAGTATTGAGTTACTTGGCCCATATTTACAAAGAATTATTAGATCCGCCCGCAGAACCGATCACGTTACGAAAAAGAAACCGTAACTAGTTATTCGAAAATGTTTCAATCTCGACGTAAGAGATTTAAGTGTGGGAGAGCCATATTAAGTGTAGGAGAGCCATGCTTCAGCACGAATGGGTCGGCTCGACCGGAGTGATACCACGGCCTCACAGAAAACCGGCGTGAAACAACCACAGCGTTGTGTTTCGCCGTGTGAGTGAGGTTACCGGAGGCCCAATCCTTCCCCTTCCCGGACCCTTCCCCAATCCCTAAATCTCCAAATCCCTAATCCCTAAAAGGTCGGCAACGCACTCGTAACTCCTCTGTTGCGGGTGTCCATGGGCGGCGTTGATTGCTTACCATCAGGTAATCCGTCTGCTCGTTTGCCTACTTATTACATAAAAAAAAAATGGGAGAAGGGCGTTTAAAAATTGAAAAGAATAAATATAAGAAATAATTTGCAGATAATTTTCTTAAAACATAATCAGCGTAAATGTGTTCACTGCTTAGCGAAGGCCTTTTCTCAAACGGAGAAGTTATGAGTATTAAACACTACGCTTGTTCAATGCGGATTGGCGATTTCAAACTTAAAAAAACCAGAAGAAGTTCATAAAACCAGGTTTTCTCACGATGCTTTCCTTCACTATATGTCAATGGTTTCAAAATTAACTTAGAAAGCACTTATAACTCAGAAAAAGTAACATTAAAAATTCTTACTTCTTTATGTCCGGACCACTACGAAAAAGACCACATAATGCTTTAAAAAAAGGTTAATATAATAACCTAAATTGCTATTTAAGCTTGAGGACATACTTGATCTATCTACATATACCTACGTGAAAATTTCATTAAATTCAACTCAGTTATTACAGCGTCAAAGAGCAAAAATTATTAAAATCATCTTTATTCACAAACACGCGTTATGTCGTGAATAGTAATACTATTATAGTACTTTTATACGGGTCAGGGAATCGAGTTTAAGCCCTTCGGGTGATTAAACTTATAAATGTTCTCAATGAGTCAATAGAGTAAAACATTTATAAGGATTTGTTTCCTTTAACTCACTGAGCTAGTATTAGTTGTCGGTCAAAGACGGCATCTATTTATGGCTAAGCTAGTTGAGTTTTTTTCTTTGGAGAAACATTTCATCTGATTGCAATAAACAGTCTGAACAGGGCCGCCCTTAGACACTCCCAAGAGCACAACCAGTAGGCCTTCCATGTCGTGTTAAAGCGTGACTCTTCTGGGCGAGAAAGAGGGATGGAGCCAAAAAAGGTGTTCAGCCCCATCCCTCAACACGTCATGGTAGGCCCTCAGCCTTCGGAGTTGCGGGTTAAGCGCAATGAGTCACCGCGGCCTCGGCCCAGAGCAGGAGGAGGAACGGGGGGGGGGGGGATTAGGCAGTAAGAGTCTGACACTCCCTCCTGCCCGACCCTGGGCGGGAGAAGTCATCTGATGATTTTCCCCTCACAAAAAAAGCTTTCGAAAATGGAAAACGTTCTTTATTCGAATATTTGACTTAGCTGTGTCAATGCTAGCCAGTTTTAAGTAGAAAGAAGATAACAGTAGCATTTTAAACAAAATTTCCCCCGTTTCATAATAAAATTATTCCCGGGAACTAATAACTATTAGATCGTCACATTAAACGCAAAACATAGTATTACGGAAAACGTTATGCGGAAATAATATTCAGGACAGTGATTAACAGTTAATTGTACACTACAATAAAATTAACTGGGCAGTTAATACTTTGAATAAATAGGTACACGCTACTGATCCCCGGTTTGACTCGTTATATTATAGGTTTTAGGCTTGCTATAGCCTAGAAATAGTCTTTTTAAATGAATCGACAATTTTTTCAAACGACTAGTAAAAGAGAGCTCAAACAAATAAATATAAAACCTTTTTTTTTTTGTTTAATACCAGTGTTGCTCGTTTAGACATTGTCTATGGTAAGTATTTTTTTAATTTAGTTTTCTATTGTCACTTGCAATGTGAGTACCTTAGTACCTATATTCTTACCATTATATACCTATATTACTTTATATAAGTACCTATATTCTATCTTTCCCGACACCATTTTTTTAAACACTATATATGTATAAAACCTATTTATGATAACTTGTAAATGGCCTTCAAGTGTTATACAAAATACAAATAAAAAATCTTTATTTCTGTACCAAAAATTTATTATTACTTATTTGTTATATTATTTATTTTATAAGTATTGTTTCTTCTAACTGTAAGTTATACGAGAATATTAAAATAAAAAATGCACTATACAAATACAGAATAAACTTTTAAATCGTAACATTTACGTCAGTAATAAATAATACTAGCATACTATAAATCGACGTAAAAGACTCCATTTGACTCATAGCAAAACATCAGACTAGCAGTCACCAAAGACGGTGATTCATATGACTTCCGTCCTACACATGTGACCTTTAGGGCATACATTAGGACCAAGGTGGACCATTTGGTCCTTTCGCCCTAGAAACATTCCTGTTCAACCAATTAACATAAAAAATAACTAATTGACGGGGTCAATGACCGTGATTGATAATCGTAGCCTATTGCCGAATGAATCACTACTGTGCACATGCGTGTATGTGTGTGTTTATACGTGTGTGTCAGCCGGCTGCCGTTTAATTGAAATATTATCAGTTAGCAGTCATTTGCTGCTTTATATTGTTAGTGTGTAATATAATATTCAATGATCTGTCCCATGTTTTAATTTTTTGAGTGGGATTCGGTTTCGAATTGCATTTTTATTTTGCAATTGTACCACAGGTGTGGCTTAATTGTTCAGTAGGTAATCGTGGTAAGAGACTTATCGGGAGTCTTTTTAGGAGTTAACCTTGAGAATATTTCTCTCCCTTTTTTACGATATCAATCTCTATCGATAATTTAAGGCTGCCTACTGAGTGAAAGTTGAAAAAGTGTGGTTTCATATAAATAAATATTTTTTAATTTTATTAAGTAAATATCAACTAAAACAGAATCTAACCAAAAAAAAAAGGTAAAATTGAGGGCAACAGCTAGTAAACATTATTAGAGAACTCTTTAAACAATTCAGACACCATTAAACCTCCACTTATTTAAAAGACCAAAATTTTATCAAAAGGTTAAAAACATCATAACCATCCTTATCTTTCTCTGGCTACATCTATTTCTACCAATTTTACATCTATTTCTTCCTAAAATGCAGGAACGCCTAATTTAGGAGACAGGTTTACCATACCATCAACCTTGTACATTTATTCTGGTTACAAGAACCCTATGCGTATATAAATAAAGATTATTTTCTTACTTGTCAACCACACAATCTCTTATCTGCACATAGCTCTTGGGGAAGGCGCCGCTGACGTCCTTCTTGAGGCTTTTGCCCCAATACCAGGATTCAGTCTCTCGCTCAAGATGCAGCAGCTCGCCAACGTCGAACGAGAGATGGAGAGAGCCGGGTTTGGCTGTGAAGTTGTATATGGCTGCGGAAGAAAAAAAAAAAAAAACATTAACATCATCTATACTTATAATAAATCTGTAGAGAGGTCAATTCTGTACATTAAATATATTTTCAAAATAACTACCAGGGTGATAAGTGATCGATACTAATGCCAAAAATGCAATCAGTTACATTTTTGTCTGGCTGGCTGTCTGTCTGTCTGTCTGTCTGTATGTTCTTTATAGAAACAAAAAGTACCTACTCATTTATTAACAAAACTTGGTACAATTATTCCTTATACTCCATGGCAGGTATTTAGTTTGGTCGCAAACCAAACTTTCAATAAAATAAAATAAAAATATCAGTAGTTTCGACATAACTGGCAAATTCATTTGAATGACAAATGAAATGTTAGCCATATTTAAGTAGCTATTGAAACATAAAATTATAAACGCTGTTATGGGAATATAGGCTTTAAATAATATTACGATTAGGCTTGTTGTGACATAACCTACAATTATTTAATTTCTGCTGTACTAAGAAGCTGGAATGGCTATGAATCTGTACTAGATGGTTTACAGATTGATTGACAATAAGCGCTTCGTGAGCAACGTGCGAAACACAATGACGGCGTCTTGACGCATGAATAAGAGTCCCGCTGTGACCTGAAACCGGTAGAGCTTTACCCTGTTACTTTACGAGTATGCCGTTATTTTTAATTTTGGAGAATATCTCACTTTATCTATATCACAATAATGGTTGACAGATTATCCTACTGTTATTCTTTTTTCCGGTATTATAAGTAGATAGACTATTCTATTTTCATATAGGGACTTTTTAAACCAGCAATTTCAGCCCTTAGTCTCTGTTTGATATCCTCACTGTACATAGTAAACCCATTGTTTTTAACTTAACGGAACTAAATAAAAATTACAATCTGCCACAGCATTATGAACCTTAATCACAAACAATCAAGCTTCACTTCTGTTAACCTCATCACAACGGATAGTCCATTACGAGCAAATTGCAAATTTCATGTACCTATTTACAAAAATGCCAACAGACCGTTACCCACAAAGCAGATGCTAATGGCACGTCAAATAGTATGACATAATAAATGACACCAGTAATGGTTAAAGTATCCTGCGACAACAATCATTGGACGTAATATAATGCTTTCTGATTTGGCACAACAATGCCAAACTTATAATAAGGAATATAAAGAATATGTGCGTACAGTCGTACGCTAAAACTTTCGGTACGCATGGGAAAGAACGTGGTCCTTCGGGACATGTGCTAATAAATTGACGTGGGACCGGGAGCCAATTTCGTATATGGTATTACGACTTTTTTTAAAGACTGGTAGGTATAATAGAATTATATTTTTAAGTAATATAAGGACCATTTACTTCAGTTAACTACATAACACCGTCTCATGAGAAAATATTACACACAATCGCATAATCATACAAAACAACTTTGACCTTGATGACGGCAGAACTAAAATGACTAATGGGCGACAACATCAAAAATATACTCCTTAACGGAGCGTCGCAAATTCATTAAATTGACATCAAGATTAACCAGAGCGACTAACGACTCACATCCTGTTCGAAGGAACGCAAAAAATATTAATATGATATCAAGAAAAGTTAATGTTTAACATTCATTGTACTTACACAAACAATTAATCCCGGACAATAGGGGCGGTATGCGTGTGAGTCACGTAAGACGAGACTTGCGCGGGCGCACCAAAATCGCGTTCGAACGCAGCTTGAGCGCGCTGTGAATGCTGATGTGAGGGGGCTAGATCTATAAACCGTTTAGACGGGATAGATTCCATGTATAGCCCAATGTTTAGACCTTTTTTATTTTAAACTCATTCAGAACTTGCAACGACTCTCAATTTTACATGAAAAACAGATAAAAATATGTCCTTTTATTCTCCTAACAATTCATCAGGAAAAAGTACGAAAGTATCGATTAACACGAATTTTAACTCATAATTACTATAAAGTCATTTCTGTAAAATGCTAAAATAAGAACTCAAAGTATTTCTGAGTATTCTTGGTCTTAAAGTTTCGTCGAAAAGTCAATAACAAAATTATATGAAAGAAAATCTTAATTAAAGAGAAATCAGTGTCTGCCTCACTCATCAGACAATTTAAATAGATTAGCAGTCATTGTATAGGGTCCATTGTAGTTGATATAAACCAACGAATTCAATGAACAGATAGTCTTCATTATGATTTAATGACAGGTACACTCAATTCAGGTTCACAAAATAAAGTGCCCGCTCTCTGAAACGGTAGCAAGTTTGCCAGTTTCTAAATCCCAGAAGCTTTAAAAATTGAACAAGCATACCTCTACTTGAATTTTATAGAACAGACCGTTTAATAAACTTAGATCCCGTCTTTAAATCGGACTAAAAAATTCCTTACCCAAGTCCCAATAAAGACACTAAATCCCTATCGACTTATCCAAGGTTCATCGAATCTATCAATTTTACGACATCGTCTATAAAACGGCGCTTCTAAGAGACTTATAAATCTATCAGACATCAGATCCCTGCACATGTCACTGATACTTCTCGTAATGAGATATCGGTACTACACTCAAGCACCTGGTATCGCACGTTTTCGGATGAGGGCGTTAATGGTACAGGTTCCATTTTACGGGTCATTGAGTACATTGTCTGTGTAAATTAGTGATTGGTTTATGGGTCGGAGTTAATTCATTGATAGTGTATAGAGATGTAAAGCAAATTCTATTCCATTGCAACGTATAATGATGTTTCAATTCAATGATCAGGGTGATCACATTGAAATGACATTACGTGGAAGTAATGAATGTCTTGATGGGTAAAAAACGTCAACTGTAGTGGACAAAATAGTATATAATACACTAAGTTTAAAATAACATTAGAACATTAAAATTATGATGTTCTGGATTTATTCTCAGATTTATTCCATAGACATATGCATTGCTTTACATTTGCAAAGTAAACAATTAAGACCACCGCTTAATTCAAAAATTGCTAATACCTTCAAAATTAAGATGTGTTTAAACCATTTTATAACTACAATCTGGGAAAAAAGAAGGAAATCAATCCCATTGGGATTCCAACAGCAATTTAGGTAATAGAAGGTCGAGAATTTATCGACCTACTTCGAATCTCATTAGTCGTGGACTCGTGATCCGATGCAGTCATTTACACTAATGTAATACCAAACCGGATTTTTAGCGTCACAGCTCGCCAAAAGTAACGGCAACTTTTTGCGACCATTTAACTAAAGTGTGTCATCGGAGACCCATTTTTATTAAATGCAAGTAGCATCCTAAAATGAACATTGCAAACATCTGTTGTACAGTTTCTAACGAATGAGCTGTAAGTAAGGACGACAAAAATCAATTGAATCATTTTTTATTACTCTGAATTGCTGATTGGACGACATTATTGGCGGAGTGATGTTTTGACAGACATAATTGGACTTCCTCAGGTGACGGAAGGGGACCGAATGCGTCGATTGGCATGTAGGGACATGTGCGAATATAAATACTTGAATGTACTCTGTTAATATTTTTACTCGTACATAACGCAAGTTCAATATAAGTGGCAACATGTGTAACGTAAGAACATTTCGACAGTTATATTTGTATCATGTTATATGGTAGACTTTTCGCAATATATTGAACATCTGCAAAAGTAATATTGTTTTTTTCAACCCACACCCGAGACCTGTATCGATCAACATTGGTTCGGTTAGTCTAAAGCTTAAGCCGAGGCGACGACACTTAAGAACTATTTTCTAAATCACAATGAAAAGTTATCTGCTTTTATTTGTTTATAATTATATAGGCACATTTGCCAAAGTCCATATTTTTATATAAAGTTCGCATATACAGGCTTCTTTTAGGCAATGAAGTTCCACCAGTAGACTGTCTCTCATCGCCAAGAATAGAAATAAGTTCAGAGCAAACAACATCATCCACTTAAACCAATAAATTTTCCAAATATTACCTTACCACTTTACAAATATGGTATCAAATTAAATAATTTATACCTACCATATAAGGTCGATATCATTTTGGCAAGAAACATGAGTCTACGTAAGTAATTGAGTCCATCTGGTAGGCAGGCACGCACTACTGTGAAATGTGCGGATTTTACGTGTTAAGCCCGGTGTGGGTGGCAATATGGCCAATATGAGAGAGTGACCAGACGGCATGGCTAGACCAATGAGAAATGTACCTACAAATACAATATGAGACTATCGAGACCACAGAAAATCGGATCGGTAAAAGAATAATGCTTTTAGCTGAATAGAAAGAAGTCCTTTAATAGCGATTTTCTTGTATCATTTTTTCAAAGAATCTTTTATGAAATCTTTTGATAGTCATTGATAATAAACTTTGTCATTGAAAGAATTGACCGAAAAGTGGAGTCATGTAAAGGAATTGCTTTACTGCCTAGAACTTTGCTTTTATTTCAACTACAGAATCAACAATAACAATAGTAATTATATTATTAATTAGAAAGCAACTTTACGACCAAAAAAGTAGAGATGATCGTTTAAGGAGAAAAAAATCGGGTGTCATTCGTCCGAATCGGACTTACGGACGTAAGTGATCAAAACGGTAATGGTGGAATTTCAAGGTCAAAATTGAAGCATCACAAGTGTAATTAACTGAAGTAGTCCTAGTTCGTCAGTACTTCATTTCAAGTACATTAAATTATAAACGACAATTAATTGTATAGATAAAACAGCCGGTGCGATATGTACTTAGTAACTGGTCGGAATCTAAGTAGGAATCGAGGTAGGTAGGAACCATACATTAATTGACTACTGGTCGAATGCACTAGTTTTTCGAATTATCGAAATGGACATTTTTGATAATTCGAAAAACTGTTGCATACACTGCGCTGTTTCGAGAGAAAGGATTTGTTGGTGAAACTGATTAAAAAAAGAGTAATCATGGAGTTTCTAGCTCGTTCTTCTCCCATGGTAATCTACACTTTGGCACGAGCAAATAGACGTAGAC